CGGTTTAGGCCTTAAAGCTTGATTATTACTCAAACCGTCTGTCTCTCTCATGACATAAATATTGAAGCTTGTGTCTTGTCTTTAGCAGCTGACAAATTGACAGAGTAGAAATGCTTCCGCTTTAGAGAGTTCTCTGTCTCGCTCTTGTTCTTTTTCTTACTCTGTGCAACATTTATGATCATGGTTGTTATCCTATAATATGTGACTGAATTCAGGAAGTTGAGCATGTGTCAAATTTAGCAGATTGCCTTTTTTTTTTTAAATACATTTTATAAAAGTAAAGCTTCAAAATTGTATATCATACACCGCAGTTGGGGGAAACATGGGAAAGTTATGCTTCTTGGAAATTTGATACACTTATTCTCCCACTTTGGAGACAAGTAGGAAAATATCACTTGAATTATTTTCTCACTTTAAAGAGAGCTCTTCTTTTTTTATATATATATATATATATATATTTTTTTTTTCTTCTAGGGGAATGGATCAGCTTAATATTGCAGATAGATTGTATCTTCTATCAATGTAATTGTCTGCATCACTTCCAATCCCCCATGTTTTTTTTATTTTATTTTATATATATACTCCCCTTTATTACTTTTCAACCCCACCATCCTTTCCCTACTTGGAGTAAACTAGTGAACAACAATGCCCAGGCCTCCACTTCCGGTCTATACGCACCATCTACACCTTATGGACAGAGTTAATTTTACAATAATTATATTATATATATATATATATATTATTTTTTTTGCTCCTGAACTTCTTCTACTCTCAACCTCTCCGATCATTTTCATGATGTCCATCCGGTTTGCTTCTATATGCCATATCTTTCTAACTGTGCTCTTTCCCAAAAGCTCCCAACATACAACCTATATACTTATTATGGACACAGTATGCTTACATTATTAGCTATCTTTGTTATTATTTGTTGTTATTTGTTATTAGTCCCATCCTTCAACTCTATTCAATACCTCCCATCTATCTCTTAACACCATCCATATAGGATTTCTATTTGCCATATATATTTCAACCGTACTGTGATGTTTTACAAAAGTTCTGAACCTTTCTATTCTCATTGCTTCTACAGATTGTGAATTTAAAATAAACATTTTTGCTAAAAGTATTATTATATTATTGATCGTTTGACTATGACTTTTCAGATCACCCAGTAATGCTATCTGCAAGGTTAGTTCCAGGTAAATATTGCAATCCTTTAGCCATTCCTGGACCTGTGTCCAAAAACAAGCTACAAATGGACAGAACCAAAACAAATGATCTAATGATTCTGTCTCTTCACAGCAAAATCTGCAGAGCTGGGAAGATTGTATCCCCCATATAAATAACATTATATTGGTAGCAAGAATTTTATATAATAATTTAAATTGAAAGATTCTAATTTTTGAATCCGGTGTCGTTTTGCGTGTCAGTTCATAAACACTATGCCATGGGATCGGTACGTCAAAGATCTCTTCCCAACTATTTTGCAATCTATATGGGACGGCTGTCAATCCTTTGGTCCTTAAGTGAAACTGATATACTTTTTTATTTATCACAGTTTTCCTTAACCAATTATGTTCTTTAATGCAAGGCCGACAGACAAGTTCCTTACTTTCTCCCCCTTCCACTTTCCTCTTCCACTTTTGCGGTAAGGCTGCAATTATTTGGTTGTAATTTTGGGTAGAGCAGACATTTCCATATGTTTTTGTTAGCTGCATGTGCGACATAACTCCACCAGTCCTACCGATGATATCATTTACGAAGAAAATATACCTTTTTTAAACATTCTGTCAAAAAATAAAGGTTTTTTGTCAATTAGTATATTTGAATTTAACCACAATATTTGTTGCATTATTTGTTCTGTCGTTTCTGGAGGATTAAATTGAAATTGCAACCAACTTTCTATGGCTTGTTTTAGAAATAGTGACATTTGGGAGATTATTTCCTTTTCAAATAACTGAAAGTGAGAGGTTGTAATCTGAATAAAGGGAAAAATGCCTTTCTTGAACATTGGATGAGACAATCTTACTAATTTGCTTGAGAACCAGTTCGGATTTAAGTATAACTTTTGTATGACTGAAGCTTTTAGTGATAGGTCTAATGCTTTAATATTTAATAATTTCTGTCCTCCGAATTCATATTCATTATATAAATATGCTCTTTTAATTTTGTCTGGCTTGCCGTTCCAAATAAAATTGAATGTTTTTTTCTCATATAATTTAAAAAACTGTTCGCTAGGCGTAGGCAAGACCATAAGCAAATAGGTAAACTGGGATAATACTAAAGAGTTAATCAGGGTGATTTTTCCACAAATTGACAGGTATTTTCCATTCCATGGTAGTAAGATCTTATCTATTTTTGCTAACTTTCTATAAAAATGTATTGAAGTGAGATCATTTATTTCCTTTGGGATATGTATTCCGAGTATATCCACATCACCATCAGACCATTTTATTGGTAAACTACATGGTAATGTAATTGTTTTATTTTTTAGTGATCCAATACGTAATATAGTACATTTGTCATAATTTGGTTGTAATCCAGAGAGGTTAGAAAATGTATCTACATCCTCTATGAGGCTGTGGAGGGATTCTAGTTGTGGATTTAAAAGAAAACATGAATCATCAGCGTACAATGACACCTTTGTTTTTAAGCCCTGTATTTCTAATCATCTGATATTATTATTGGATCTGATTTTAATAGCTAACATCTCGATGGCCACAATAAATAGATATGCCGATAGTGGACAACCTTGTTTCACTCCTTTTGACAGTTTAAAACTTTCTGAGAAATAGCCATTATTTACTATTTTACACCTAGGGTTACTATACATGATTTTGACCCATTTTATAAGAGATTCTCCTAAATTGAAATGCTCCAGGCATTTATATATAAACCCCAGTCGAACTTTATCAAATGCCTTTTCGAAGTCTGCTATGAATAGCAGGCCTGGTTTCCCATATTTTCCATAGTGTTCTATTGTTTCCAATACTTGCCTTATATTATCTCCAATGTATCTTCCATGTAAAAAACCTGTCTGATTAGAATGAATAATATCCGACAATACCTTTTTAATTCTATGCGCTATACATTTTGCTAGGATTTTTGCATCACAACACTGAAGTGTAAGGAGCCTCCAATTTTGTAAATGGACTGGATCTTTATATTTTCCACTTGTATCCTGTTTCAGTAATAATGAGATCAGACCTTCTTCTTGAGTGTCAGATAATCTACCATTTACATAGGAGTGGTTAAAACATGCTAATAACGGTCCTCTTAGTATATCAAAAAAGGTTTGGTATACCTCGACTGGTATGCCATCCAACCCTGGAGTTTTCCCGGACTTAAAGTCTTTAATTGCATCCAAATGTTCCTCCTCTGTAATTTCACCTTCACATGAGTCTTTCTGTGTGGCTGTTAATTTGACATTATCAATAGAACAAAAATCTCTACAATTAGCTTCAGTTAGAGGAGATGGAGGCGACTGAAAAGAAAACATATGCTTAAAGTACTTTGTTTCTTCCTTCAAAATATCATTTGGTGAATTATGGGTGACTCCGTCAATTGTAACCAGTTTCATTAAGTTCTTTTTGGTAGCATTCCTATGTTGAAGATTAAAAAGGAATTTTGTGCATTTTTCCCCATATTCCATCCAGTTTGCTTTATTTTTATAATATATTACACTTGATCTTTCTTGAATAAGTTTCTCAATTTCTTTTTGTTTTTCCTCTAATTTATTCTGAGCCTCTATATTACAGTTTTTATTGCCATCTATCTGTTCTGTTAGACTTTCTATTTCCTTTCTTAGTATAAACTCTTTTGACCTAAATTGCTTTTGTTTTCGAGATGAGTACTGAATTGCATGGCCTCTAAAGGCACATTTAAAGGTGTCCCATACAATAAGGGGATTCGCTGTACCTATGTTATGTTGGAAAAAGTCAGTTATAAATTCCCCCCCCCCATTCTTTTTTTCACGCTACTTCATCTCGAATTGTTGAATGAGTTTCCTGTATACAATAGATATTATATTCCTTCTCTTTGAGCCATGTAAATATTGTTCTTCTTTTGTTATTATCAGCTAAGCCATTACAATTATAACTGGCTATACCATAATGAGATACAAGTTTCAAGTCTATTTATCATTATATATGTTTGTAAATTTACCAATAAAAAATAGCGTAATGATTGAGTGTCCATATAGCTGTACCTTGATATTTGCATTACTACGGAGTAACCCTTCAATTGTTCTCCACTAATTCCCCCACTAAAGCCCCTCCCCTTCCCAAGTTGAGCCGTCATCCCAGTGATCAGCATCCCACCCACGTCCCTTCGTATCCCTAAGGCCCCGAGAGGCCAGGACCCATCCATCGAAAACAGCACACAGTGCCACCCACAAAACAGAAGCAGATTAACCGCCAAAAGCATTTCCAATGCTTTCACCTCTCTATATATATATATCTATATAACTATTTTTTTTAAATTATGCATATCCTATTTTCCATCATTATCAATTCATATGAGAGAGCACCAGGGGGAGAGCTCTTCTTTGTTTACGCTCATTCAGCATCATTCACACCTTCTTAAGCTATAGCCCCACTCATCTCTTTAAGAATAAACGAATGAGTCAGCATGACATCGTCCTCCTGGAAGTAATCTCTGTTATCCCCCTCTATTATCTCAGCCAATCATGGATCCAGCCTTTCTCCCTACATAGCTCAGCGCTTTCTCCTTGGCTAAACTAGGCTCATAATAATATTTAAAAAATTCATACAGTATTAACAGATCCCAGACCAGTCTGTAAGTAAGGCATACGAAAGTTCACATGTTCAAGAAGGCATTTCAAAAAAATAAAAATAAAAATATACTTATTTTTTTTAACAGCCCTACCGTGAAGTAGAAAAAGCGCGTCAAACGCCTACCATCCTGAATCCGGTCACATTTAAACAAACATTATCGAACAGCACTGATAGACAGTGCTCTGTTGAAGCTGTCGTCCTACCTCATCATTTTGGGTGAACCGTTGGGTGAGTTCCTCGTGTTTCCGTTGCGTTGTTTCTTTTTAGGCGACACAGCTGACTGCTGTTCCTCTTCGACTGTAATCACAGGCGAGAGAGTGTGAGGAGCAATGGAATGGCCGAGATCACATACAGTAAAGTCTTACAAATGTACTGTAAGTATGTTAGTAGACCAAGACAACACAGCACAATCATTTCAAAAGTCAGAGAAGCTTTCCAAAGCAAAGAGGCAAGACAGGTTAGAATCAGGAACAGGAGACTACAGGGTGAGGAAGGGGTGAGGTGGGGTAAGGACGGGACGGATGCAATGCGTGATACAGTACTACAACCTGGCAAATCCCCCAAAATGCAACTCAATAAAAATGCATGTGAACATTTTGTCTGCATTAGCGTAAACGTAATGATGCAACATGCTGCAGTGCCATCACCATCGTGCTTCTCATTTAACGTACCATTGATTTACTGTAAAACGGACTTACTGTAAAATGGACTTACTGTAAAACTGACTTACTGTAAAACTGACTTAATGTATATCTGACTTAGTGTAAAACGGATTTACTGTCAAACTGACTTGCTGTCAAACTGACTTAGTGTTCAACTTTGGTAAGTGCTAATTGAATCTCTTACTGTATCCTGCATACTGTGCGTATAATATTCTATGACGAAAATACAGTCCTGTACTGTAACATCACACTAAAACCAAGCCCACATTTAAATGGCAATTACAAATGCTACCATCTTTTTTCAGTTTCTAACCTAATACTGTATATATCTGTTCAGGTTTTATATACACTACCGTTCAAAAGTTTGGGGTCACTTAGAAATGTCCTTGTTTTCCATGAAAACATCCATGAAATGAGTTTGAATAGGAAATATAGCAAAATGCAGAGGAAATGTAGTCATTGACAAGGTTAGAAATAGAAATAATGATAATAATAATTGTGTCCTTCAAACTTTGCTTTCGTCAAAGAATCCTCCATTTGCAGCAATTACAGCCTTGCAGACCTTTGGCATTCTAGTTGTCAATTTGTTGAGGCAATCTGAAGAGATTTCACCCCATGCTTCCTGAAGCACCTCCCACAAGTTGGATTGGCTTGATGGGCACTTCTTACGTACCATACGGTCAAGCTGCTCCCACAACAGCTCAATAGGGTTGAGATCCGGTGACTGTGCTGGCCGCTCCATTATAGACAGAATACCAGCTGACTACTTCTTCCCTAAATAGTTATTGCATAGTTTGGAGCTGTGCTTTGGGTCATTGTCCTGTTGTAGGAGGAAATTGGCTCCAATCAAGCACCGTCCACAGGGTATGGCATGGCGTTGCAAAATGGAGTGATAGCCTTCCTTCTTCAATATCCCTTTTACCCTGTACAAATCTCCCACTTTACCACCACCAAAGTACCCCCAGACCATCACATTGCCTCCACCATGCTTGACAGATGGCATCAAGCACTCCTCCAGCATCTTTTCATTTGGTCTGCGTCTCACAAATGTTCTTCTTTGTGATCTGAGCACCTCAAACTTCGATTCGTTTGTCCTTAACACTTTTTTCCAATCTGGACCCCCTGGTCGCCCTGGTCCCCCCTGGTTGCCCCTGGTCCCCCTGGTCGCCCTGGTCCCCCTTCTTTTGCCCATCTTAATATTTTCTTTTTATTGGCCAGTCTGAGATATGGCTTTTTGTTTGTAACTCTGCCTAGAAGGTCAGCATCCCAGAGTCGCCTCTTCACTGTTGACGTTGAGACTGGTGTTTTGCGGGTACTATTTAATGAAGCTGCCAGTTGAGGACCTGTGAGGCGTCTGTTTCTCAAACTAGACACTCTATTGTATTTGTCCTCTTGCTCAGTTGTGCACCGGGCCTCCCACTCCTCTTTCTATTCTGGTGAAGGAAGTAGTAGACAGCATTGTACAAGATCTTCAGTTTCTTGGCAATTTCTCGCATGGAATAGCCTTCATTTCTCAGAACAAGAATAGACTGACGAGTTTAAGAAGAAAGTTCTTTGTTTCTGGCCATTTTGATTCTGTAATCGGACCCACAATTGCTGATGCTCCAGAGGAATACTCAACTAGTCTCAAGAAGGCCAGTTTTATTGCTTCTTTAATCAGCACAACAGTTTTCAGCTGTGCTAACATTATTGCAAAAAGGGTTTTCTAATGATCAATTAGCCTTTTAAAATGATAAACTTGGATTAGCAAACACAACGTGCCATTGGAACACAGGACTGATGGTTGCTGATAATGGGCCTCTGTACACCTATGTAGATATTCCATTAAAAAAAATCAGCCGTTTCCAGCTACAACAGCCATTTACAACATTAACAATGTCTACACTGTATTTCTGCTTAATTTGATGTTATTTTAATGGACAAAAAAAGTGCTTTTCTTTCGAAAACAAGGACATTTCTAAGTGACCCCAAACTTTTGAACCGTAGTGTCTACAAATTGCAATCATCCTCAAACCAGTGTGTGTGGCTGACTGTGACACATGCGTTAACCCAGTATGCTAATCTAATAAAAACAATGCCATATGTCCATGTCCTATTAAATCATTACATTAGAAACACTTAAAGGAACTGCCCAGTGAAAATCACATTTTAAAAAGTTCATATTACGTTAACTCATTTCCAAATAATGTTGTTGACTCGTCCTATAAGGGTATTTGTGGCCAAAGCATAAATTGGAGAAAGAACACTTCAATAACCCCATCTCAAACTTGTATCTCAAACAGATCATTTTAAAAAGGCACGCTATTTCCTCATAGAACATGATGTCATTTCTCTGAGGTGGATGAGCTGGCCAATCAGCTGTCTAGAGGAGGATGAGCTGGCCAATCAGCACTCTACTCACATGAATATTTTTTATGACCGCTACAGGCCCACACCATTCTGTTGTTGGGGTACGCCCACACCATTCCAACACAGAAAAGCTGCTTTTAACAAACCAGATTAACAATGTTTTGAAGGAAAACTATTTTACTCATATTGTAAGTAATTATAGGTCATATTTCATAGAAATCTGGAAACAATGGGTAGTTACTTTAAGATGCTTCTACTGCTGGCTATGCAAATCTCTCACAACGTTCATCTAATTAAGATAATAAAGCATAAATATCACGGAGATGACATCATAAATATGGCCCCTTTGTTCCAATGTCTGAACGCATCGGAGATGGCTGGTCTTTAGTTTCCTGTCGTCTCGGGGCCTAATGACACTGACTGCCGATGCCCTCGGCTCATGTAATTAGATTGGTCTGAGTGCCACTAGGATTTATCCACAGCTCAGCTGCCCCTCGGACATTGTCTTTACCACTACATGAAACCCACCGACCCAGGCTCTTCTCTTCGCAGAAAAAAATAATGACAAGTTTCGCCCCTCGAGCGAAAATGTATCAGGCAAATTCTTTACGCTAGCTGATATCACATGTATGCATGTAAAAGAAGAAGAAAGAACATCTCCTCTGTTGAGTGAAAGTGAAAACAAAGAAAAACAGCTAGTTGACAGCTTTGAACTAATCCTGTTTACTAAAAGCCTCTCACTAGATTTTAGCGCTTTATCAGTCATATATCTTTAACGCACGACTAAACATGTTAGCAGCCATGTTGACTTCTAACGAGATAGATATACAAAACCAGGACTGTGTCCCAAATGGCACCCTGTTCCATATGGACCAGGTCCGTACTGCACTAGGGAAATAGGGTGCCATTTGGGACACAGATAGACAAAAAATCAGTAGAGGCAGCTTAAGTGGTTTTAAATGATGTTTCAGACCGTCGACACGACACGAGGTGTTTCAACCCGAAACTAGAATGTAACTCATACATTAAAATGAATAAAGGTGAAATATGCTGGTCCTCAGATGGGTGCTGGACTGTTTTATCTATGACAGGATAATGGAGACAGTAGTGAAGCAGTGGAAGGGTCTTTCAGTGGAGTGTGGTGCTGCTCACGCACGCACACACACACGCACGCACGCACGCACGCACGCACGCACGCACGCACGCACGCACGCACGCACGCACGCAGCACACACACACACACACACACACAACACACACACACACCCACCACACACACTGCACGCACGCACGCACGACACGCACGCACGCACGCACGCACGTCGCACCACGCACGCCACCACGCACTGCACGCAACCAACACACACACAAACACACACACACACACACACCACACACACACACACACACAAAACACACAAGGTCAGGCAGTGTCCTCACGCACGCACGCACAGCACGCACGCACGCACGCACGCACGCACGCACGCACGCACGCACCACCACCAACACACACACCACACACACACACACACACACACACACACACACACACACACACACACACACACACACACCACACACACACACACACACCACCACACACACACACACACACACACCACCACACACACACGCACGCACCACGCACCACCACTCACTCACGCACGCACGCACCACACCACCACCACCAACCACCACCACGCACCACCAACACACCACACACACACACACACACACACACACACACACACACACACACACTCACACACACACACACACACACACACACTGCTGGAGATGGCTGGTCGTTTCTTCACATCTTCCTCAGTCAGTGTGTTCAATATTTAATAGCTCCCAGCTGACAGCTACACAAACTGGATCATTAGTAAGGAATGCTACACATGCAACCCATTCCACCCCGGCAATACAGCCTCTGTCTCAGTTGTGGTAATGTCGAGCAGGGTGTAGTAAGGGGGGGCTTACTGTACTCCACTCCCTCCTAGAAGCAGCCTCAGCCTCAGTCACAGACGTGTTGTGACGATAGCTAGTATTGTTGAGCCGCAAAGAGGTTCAAGGCGAGGGGGGGCTTGCATCTCATTTCACATTTACATTTTAGTCATTTAGCAGATGCTCTTATCCAGAGCGACTTCCAGTTAGTGAGTGCATACATTTTTCATACTGGCCCCCCAGCTACAGTCTCAAACACATGCGTTGTGTGTTGTTAGCCAGTGGTGAACAGGGGCCTAGCTAACCACACCTTGCCGCACGGCGCCATGAGGGGGGTTCTTACATGTTCAACGTCTCATTGAGCAGGTGCCTTACGAGGGGGACTTCCTTAGCCTGAGTCTCACTCTCATTGAGCCCCCCGTGGCCACCTGTCTGGGTGGCTGTGCCGGTGGTCACCTGGTATCCACACCTGGCACGGCTGCTGGCCCCGGTCCTGGTACCCTGTTCCCTGGCCCCCGTGGTCCCCTGGCCCCCCTGGTCCCTCCTGGTCCCCCTGGTCCCCCTGGCCCCCCTGGCCCCTGCCCCCTGGCCCTGGTCCCCCCCTGGTCCCCCTTGGCCCCCCTGGCCCCTTGTGCCCCTTGGCCCCTGGCCCCCTTGGTCCCCCTGGTCCCCCTGGCCCCCTGGTCCCCCTTGGCCCCCTGGTCCCCCTGCCCCCCTGGCCCCCTGGTCCCCCTGGCCCCCCTGGTCCCCCCTGGTCCCCCTGGTCCCCCCTGGTCCCCCTGGCCCCCTGGCCCCCCTGGTCCCCCCCCTGGTCCCCCTGGTCCCCCTGGTCCCCCCTGGTCCCCCTGGTCCCCCTGGCCCCTGGCCCCTGGTCCCCCCTTGGCCCCCTGGCCCCCCTGGTCCCCACTGGCCCCCCTGGTCCCCCCTGGTCCCCCTGGTCCCCCCTTGGTCCCCCCTGGTCCCCCTGGTTCCCCCCTGGTCCCCCATGGTCCCCCCAGTCCCCCCCCTGGTCCCCCCTGGCCCCCCTGGTCCCCCTGGTCCCCCTTGGCCCCCATGGTCCCCCTGGTCACCTGGACCAGCTCTCTGGAGCCCAGGAGGCTACGCATTAACACTGAGGGCCTGGAAGACTGCAGGCTTCCTTTACGGTTGTTGACTAGAGGAATTGACCCAGACCTGGACCCACACATGGGCACTACTACTCCACTGTTGGGCGTTGCTGCTTTATGGTGGGCTCCGTTGGTCGTGGAGCTGTGGTTCAATTTAATAGACTGGTTCTGATGGGTTGACCTTTTGATAAAGGGGTCGTCGTTAACTGCCGGATAGAGAATAATGAAAATCAGCAATAGAGAAGAAACGTAGATGTCTATACTGTCTGTAAATGAGGTGCTGTGGGGTTGAATTAAACTTACTTCATAATGGACCGGATATCAGTGGGAATTTAGATTTTATTTTACAGACGTGTCATTCACCATTATTTTAAGTAGGGGATCATTCTTTATGGCATAAGAATACTAATAGTTCAATAATTAAGAAACAAATTGTTATTAAACACCACTTAACCACTAGAAGTAGACTCTTTAAATGAAATGTTAGATATTACATTTACTTTGATATTCATAATAAACATGAATAAATCAACAGCAGGGCTTTCAGGTGTTACTTTGATTGTTCTACTATGAGAACAACTACATAACAAAAGTTTACAACCAATGTCTGAAAAGGACCAACTTAACATATTTTATCACAACAAATCTAATGAATTGAAACTATTTGAATCCCTAATCAAAGCTGCAAAATATATGTTTATTTCGTTTTAGCTTATCTCGTTTTCTAGTGTTAAAAAGAGACCAAAAAATATTATTATGACTAAAATCTAACAATACCCTCAGGAGGAAAACAATTATTTCCACTTCTCCCAAAGCTAGCTGGGATCAGAAGCCAATGTGTGTAGAGATGATTATTTAAACGGTCAGCTGTCTAAAACATTACCGTTCCGGCCCTAAACCTCCTGCACTCATCTGTCCCCTAAACCTCCTGCACTCATCTGTCCCCTAAACCTCCTGCACTCATCTGTCCCACGTCAAACACGCACAGCTTTACTGCAGGGACAACACATTGTGGCAGATTTGCTGACTTTCTAAGACCCTCTACTCTAGATGGTCTATAGTAATGTTGTTTCGTCCTCCACTACTTGGAAAAAAAATGGTGAAATCGTAAAGAACTGTACTATCTTATACCCCTCCTAAATAATGCTCAATAATTATGTTTTGTCATTTTCTACCTAAACATTTTTCAAAACAACGGAATAGTGTGATACAATGGCTTACTGGGTGATTGGTTCTGATCCGTTTGATTCCAGGTTCTCTTGACATTCTCCGGACATTAAGTGTTATCTGAGAAGGACAGCGCTTTACTCTACGGTGCAGTGATCTTTGATCTAACATTACATTTTACATTTTAGTCATTTAGCAGACGCTCTTATCCAGAGCGACTTACAGTTAGTGAGAGCCCCCCCATGGGAATCGAACCCACAACCCTGGCGTTGCAAAACGCCGTGCTCTACCAACTGAGCTACATCCCTGCCGGCCGTTCCCTCCCCTACCCTGGACGACGCTGGGCCAACAGTGATCTTAAATCTAACATCCAGAGATACAGTAGCACCTACTGCTCCAATTACAACTAATACTTACTGAAACATAAAGTATTGGAATAAAACAGAAAAACACACATAGTTCTGTGATATAAAAAATTCAGTGAAAAAAATTAAATGTTATCATGAAAGATATACAAAGTTCAGTTGCCTCATGTACCGCGTCAGCCTACTGTACGGTCATTATTGTCAAAGGGCAACATCAGACAGACACTAGCCTCCCTCCCAAAGACACACAGTTCAGTCCAGTAGTAGACAGTGTCTTTATCAATGTCAGTCGTTGGGGATGTGGGATTACTGAGCAGTGAAACACAGTGACTGGCGAGCAGGGCTGAGGTCAGTTATATTTAAATTCAGTCAATTCAGGAAGTAAACAGAAATTCCAAATGGATTTTTTTTTCTCATAGAAATTTAGGAAAAACTGGAATTGGAATTTCAGTATACTTCCTTAAATAATTATTTAACTGAATTGACCCCAACTCTGCTGACAAGCAAACAGGAAAATATGGAGACAGACACAGTCAGAAAGATGGAGGCAGGAAATGGACAGGAGACCGAAAGGAGGGTTTACAACATTAAGAAACAGATATAAAAACAGAAACATACATTGGAAATCAAAACTTACTTGATTTGATATATCCGTTAATGTTATTTTTTGCTGAGAAAAATGCAAAGACAATGAGAAGTTACAGGGTTGTTGCAATGAGAGCAAATTATACAGCCCGATAATACAGCTTATAACGGAAGGTTATAATGTTGGTTATAAAGCCGCTGTTGGGTTCAATCTCTTTAAGGCACTTCTGAACTGAGCCTTGAAGACCATATGGAACAAAGCAATGGAAAAGAACAATTGGTATCATGTGGGTGTCAATAAGGGTGTTTCAATGACTTGCGGTGATGCTGTCAGCACAGCCAGGTCTCACCAGATTAACTTCAGTATTCAACGATTTTCCAGGTCCCCAGGACGTTGGGAGATGCCCCGCTAAACCCCCTCCCCGGATAAACGTTGAATACTGAAGTCAGACTGTGATACCTTGTTGGTCAGGAAGCTGAAATGATGAATGGTTAACTTAAAATGATCAATCTTATTGTTACAGACACAGTGCAACGTAGTTTTAGTTACTGCATATACAGTACTTCATACATCATGACAGAGACCTATAGCTAAATACATTTACAAAGGAAAGGTTTTCCTTACTCCCCATGAAAAAGAGATGGAATATCCCAGATTCCACATGATTCCACATGATCAATACCTTACCTATTAGACCCCTGAAGAGTCCAACATGTTCATCAATACCTTACCTATTAGACCCCTGAAGAGTCCAACATAAAGGTCAGGTTTTGAGCTAATGAGAGGACATGTTCAACTAGAGAGCATGCTGGTCCTGGCATCTGTCGCCTGCGATTGGCCGGCACAGGACTAACAGGCTAGCATCTGTCCCACAACAAGAGGGGGAGAGAAGGGTGAGGGGGATACCTAGTCAGTCGTACAACTGAATGCAGTGAACCGAAATGTGTCTTCCACATTTAACCCAAACCCTCTGAATCAGAGAGGTGCGGGGGACTGCCTTAATCGACGTCCACAACGCCCGGTTAACTGCCTTGCTCACGGGAGGAATGGCAGATTTTTTCACCCTGCCGCCTCGGGGAGTCTAACCAGCAACCTTTTGGTTACTGGCCCAATGCTCTTAACCGCTAGGCTACCTGCCGCCCGAAGGATGGGGGGAGAGATAGAGCGAGAGAGAGAGAGAGAGAGAAATGGAGCGAGAGAGAGAGAGAGAAGAGAGAGGGGGGGAGGGGGGGGGGGGAGAGGGAGTGGGGAGAGGAGAGGGGGCTCTGGGCCGCCTGGGGGTTAGGAACTGTCACCCTGAGTTTCATGACAACCGGTAACACTCCAAAAATGAAAAATACAAACATAATTTTCATGTCAGCCCGAATGAGGCCCTCCTCTCAGCGGCCGCATGCCGTGTAGACAGCGAACTCTGGCGCATTCTCTGCTAACTTAGCCATGCAGCCAGACTACGCCTAGCCAGCTAGTCACATCCACAATAGCCTTGGCTGGATGACATGCTGCAGCTGGGGGGAGAGGACAGCCCCAGAGACTATACTATGTGCTGCAGATCTGCTTTTGATTAAAAAAATATGTTTGCTTAAACAAATGTGGACTGACTTTTTTTTATATCAAAGTAACATGTAACAACACATAGCATATTCTGCTTTTCCCAGGCCACACAACATACACTAGTGTGGGTTGATGATGTCATGCTCTGACACCTCAGAGAGATATAAAAATGCCTTAGTTATCGGAGACTAAGCCCTCTCGGCTCCATGTCTGTATTTCTGTCAGTAAGGGGCTTGTTTCTTGGCAAGCTGTGTTGTCTTACAGCCCTGAATCTGAGAGCACCTAATTGAGTGAGAGTGATCCAGGTCACCAGTAAATAAATGCAAACGTCCTACGGTTGGTACCACATAGGCCACAGTAGTATAAAACCCTACTACAATAACATTATATTATTAACATCCAAATAATAAAGCCAAGCAGAATTGGTATTATCCACTAAAAACACCTTAACATTAGCAGAAATATAGAATTTGGTCAATAAACTGCACTTCTTCTAATATAAGAGATGTACCTTAACCAACTAAATAATGTGACACTATTAAAGTATAACCAAAACAGCAATAAAACACATGCCAGACTAACATAGCATGCTCTAGAAGACAACTACCATCTTCACTAGTAGCCGGACAAAGACACTGCTGGATAACCATCATCACCATCACCATCATCATCATCACACTGATATCCAACAACATCAACAACATCAACAACATCAACAATCACGGCAGTAGCTAACACAACTCACACATTTAGACTACTGATTCCTTCTAAACGACACAGAAAACACACACAAGCCAAAGACTTTGTACTGCATGTGCATACACACACACACACACACACACACACACACACACACACACACACATCACGAACATGGATGACACACGCTGTGTGCGTCACATACGTTGACAACTTACAGGCATGTAAAGTGGTCGGGCAATCATTAAGAGAGACAGGAGAGAGAGGGAAGCCACGCTGATGAAGGGTGTCCTTCGTGTTACTATGGTGATGCACATTGGCTGACATGCAAGAGCAGTCACGCTCTGAACGGCCGCAATCAAAACAACATGCCAGCATCATTCTCTTGTAGACGGACATCTTGGCTACAGTCATGGGACGGTTGGAGGGATGGAGGGGGTGGAGGGATGGAGGGGTGGAGGTGGAGGGATGGGGGTGGAGGGATGGAGGAATGGGGAGGAGGGGTGGAGGGGTGGAGGGGGTGGAGGAGGAATGGTGGATGGGAGGAGGTGGATGGGTGGAGGATGGTGGGGGAGGGGTAGGGATGGAGGGATGGAGGGATGGAGGGTGGAGGGTGGAGGAATGGGGTGGAGGGGTGGTGGAGATGGTGGAGGAATGGAGGGTGGAGGGTGTGGCGGGGTGGAGGGGGGGGGTGGATGGGGTGGAGGATAGGAGGGGTGGAGTGAATAGCAGGAAATGGCAATGGAGGCAGGTTATTCTGTACTAGAGAGGGTGGGGAGTTATTCTGTAACCTAGAGAGGGGTGGGAGAGACTTGGGAGGGGAGTCCCTGGGGGGACATGGAAGGGGTGCTACCAAAAAGGAACAGGGGCCGAGTCAGACCCTAATATAATCTGAGACTGACCAATGTAGCTAAATCCCAATGTGGGCTTTAGTTTGAAAATATTCACTGACGCTAACTTGTGTTCTTATGCACATAAAAGGAGGATCTTCAGTCAGTAGAGCTGTCTTCTGAGACTTGAGGATGTACATGTCAAAGGGTCAAAGGTGACTGTGTGTGGGTAGAAGGGGAGGAGTTAGGGATGAAAAATGTCCTCAGGAGGTGAAATAGACTGTCAGGAACAGATGGGTTACTGTACCCATCTGATAGGTGAGTGGCTGGGTTACTGTACCCATCTGATAGGTGAGTGGCTGGGTTACTGTACCCATCTGATAGGTGAGTGGCTGGGTTACTGTACCCATGGTGTATTGTAGTGCATCATACCTCTAGTACTGATCCACCGTATCACAGTTACACCACAGTTATATCACATGATATAATATCACAGTTACACCACAGTTATATCACATGATACAATATGCAGCCTAAAGGTTTAAATAAAACAGTTAGCTGGCTTCGTGACGAACATGAGCTGTAAGCGTTTGGTCACCCCAAGCAAAGCTGCACTGTGAAATCTCAATGTTATGCTGAAGCCTGTGATGCTACATCTTTCTCACGTCGACATCCATCCTCAGAGAAGTTCACATGATGTAGCCGCAGGATGAGACATTAGCCACATACAGTAAAGGACACATGTAAAAGCTGCGTGGGACTGGGCAACAGTCTCCTGGCTGCATGAGACTGGTTTGACTCCATCATAGTACTGTATGTAAAGTAGTCCTCATTTTGTTGGATTCATAAAGTAAAAGTGTGCGGTATCTATAATAATATAATAATAATAATAATAATAATAATAATATGCCATTTAGCAGACGCTTTTATCCAAAGCGACTTACAGTCATGCGTGCATACATTATTTTATTTTTTTTGTGTATGGGTGGTCCCGGGGATCACATTTGCATTTGTTTAAGCTGTTTTCTAGTTACATTTTTTTTGGACACATCCATAACAATGGGCTAATGGGGCGCGATTTCTCCTGGCATAGAGAATGTTCTCTCTCGTCAGGACACTGTTGTTCAGAGGAGCTAGCCAACAACACAGCTACAGTAACACAATCACTTCAAACTGAAACTGGATAAACTGCAAATTGACTGCACTTCATTTCGTTTAACCTTTTTTCAATTGGCATTTCTTTGTATATATCCATAAAAAATGATGACAGCTGATTCATGATTTCGATTGGCTGAGAAACGCTGCCTGATTTCGATTGGCTGAGAAACGCTGCCTGCCTGTCTGTCTCGTCCCGACTCCCGACACGTTCATTACTATGGGACAGCTGGAGATCGAAATTGAATATTGAAACAATGTTGCAAATGTCAGAGAGACAGACAGCAAGGTTTATAAAAATCTCTGCTGTTGAAAACGAAATGTTAGTCTAAAAGAAATGTGAGATAATGGCTAGATGCTTGTTATATTGGAGATCAAGTTTATAAATTGCCTGGCTGGGCTGATGAGACAGTGGATTGCGCAGTCAGATGGAACAGAGTAAATAGGTATTTTAACGTCATTGATTTAGCCGGTGGTAACTTGTGGAATAGACACCGGCTGCAATGCGGTTTTAACCAATCAGCATTCAGGATTAGACCCACCCGTTGTATAAAGGCCAATAACTAAGACAATATCCAAGAATGTTTGCTGCTTTCACAGTATCTTTAGATTTGTTTTGAGCAGAGCTGAGATCTAACCATTCACTTATTCTAACCTCATCCAGATTGTTGAAGTGTTAGGAGGACATCTGGTGGTAGCCTGCAGTAACTGTTTCAAGTGAAATTGAGTTCAGAGATATGGGTTATGGGTGGTACATTCTATCTTAGTTTTTGACTGTATTAAATGTTATCTTTGACCTGAGAGTAAAGCGTGCAAATGAGATATGAATGAAGGACGCAGACAGGCAGCAGTATTGACCTTCGCCACATGAGATATTAATGAAGGACGCAGGCAGGCAGCAGTATTGACCTTCGCCACATGAGATATGAATGAAGGACGCAGGCAGGCAGCAGTATTGACCTTTGCCACATGAGATATGAATGAAGGACGCAGGCAGGCAGCAGTATTGACCTTCGCCACATGAGATATGAATGAAGGACGCAGGCAGGCAGCAGTATTGACCTTCGCCACATGAGATATGAATGAAGGACGCAGGCAGGCAGCAGTACTGACCTTCACCACATGAGATATGAATGAAGGATGCAGGCAGGCAGCAGTACTGACCTTCGCCACATGAGATATGAATGAAGGATGCAGGCAGGCAGGCAGCAGTACTGACCTTCGCCACATGAGATATGAATGAAGGATGCAGGCAGGCAGGCAGCAGTACTGACCTTCGCCAAATGAGATATGAATGAAAAACGCAGACAGGCAGCAGTATTGACCTTCACCACATGAGATATGAATGAAGGACGCAGGCAGGCAGCAGTACTGACCTTCGGCACATGATAAATTAATGAAGGACGCAGGCAGGAAGCAGTACTGACCTTCCCCACATGAGATATGAATGAAGGACGCAGGCAGGCAGCAGTATTGACCTTCGCCACATGAGATATGAATGAAGGATGCAGGCAGGCAGCAGTACTGACCTTCATCACATGAGATATGAATGAAGGATGCAGGCAGGCAGCAGTACTGACCTTCACCACATGAGATATTAATGAAAGACGCAGGCAGGCAGCAGTACTGACCTTCATCACATGAGATATGAATGAAGGATGCAGGCAGGCAGCAGTACTGACCTTCACCACATGAGATATTAATGAAAGATGCAGGCAGGCAGCAGTACTGACCTTCATCACATGAGATATGAATGAAAGACGCAGGCAGGCAGCAGTATTGACCTTCGCCACATGAGATATGAATGAAGTACGCAGGCAGGCAGCAGTATTGACCTTCCCCACATGAGATATGAATGAAGGACGCAGGCAGGCAGCAGTACTGACCTTCGCCACATGAGAAATTAATGAAGGACGCAGGCAGGCAGCAGTACTGACCTTCCCCACATGAGATATGAATGAAGGACGCAGGCAGGCAGCAGTATTGACCTTCACCACATGAGATATGAATGAAGGATGCAGGCAGCAGTACTGACCTTCATCACATGAGATATGAATGAAAGATGCAGGCAGGCAGCAGTACTGACCCTTCACCAAATGAGATGATTTAAGGAAAGACGCAGGCAGGCAGCAGTACTGACTTCATCACATGAGATATGAATGAAGGATGCAGGCAGGCAGCAGTTACTGACCTTCGCCACATGAGATATGAATGAAGGACGCAGGCAGGCAGCAGTATTGACCTTCACCACATGAGATATGAATGAAAAATGCAGGCAGGCAGGCAGCAGTATTGACCTTCACCACATGAGATATGAATGAAAAATGCAGGCAGGCAGGCAGCAGTATTGACCTTCACCACATGAGATATGAATGAAAAATGCAGGCAGGCAGGCAGCAGTATTGACCTTCACCACATGAGATATGAATGAAGGATGCAGGCAGGCAGCAGTACTGACCTTCGCCACATGAGATATGAATGAAGGACGCAGGCAGGCAGCAGTACTGACCTTCGCCACATGCAACATGGACAGTAAATTCAACAATAACAGATCTAATTCAAGGCAGCAGACTGTACTATGGAGGGGAATGGTAGGGTCCCCATATCACTCACAATAGATCACTATAAGTGAGCCGTTTATACATTGTTTAATGTTCCAAGGCAGCAGGAAGAGAATACATCAAGTGTTAGGGTCAATAGGACTGGACATAATGCATAACATAAGACAAGCGTCTCCAGTCTAGGCACACTGTGGAATAAGCCTGTTTGAAATCTTGAAAGGAGAAACGTAACACTGTTTTCGTTGCTGTCAAGACTGGTCCCAGATCTGTTTGTACTGTTTTGTCGACTCCTATAATCATTGTCACGCCAAACATGGCAGATCTGGGACCAGGCTATTTGTGGCATTTTTCCTCTTGCTCTTAAATCAGAACATTGACTGCTACATTAAATATGAATAAGTGTGCATCCCAAATGGTACCCTATTCCCTATATAGTGCACTACTATTGACCAGGGCCATAGGGGGCTCTGGTCAAAAGTAGTGCACTATATAGGAAATAGGGTGCCATTTGGGACCCCAGTCTTGGAACATAGAAGGTTATTTGTGCGCTCACCGCTTGTTTAAAGGGGCAATCTGCAGTTCGAACAATAACAAAGTGGCCACCCTGCCTCTGATTTGGTAACCAGTTGAGGGATGGGGCTGGAGAAATGTAACTACTCTCAGATTCATGGACATAGCTATGGATACAAGGACTGACCATCCATGATATAATAATGATAGTTATAATGATATTTTGAGGCTATACATATTTACATTATTTACAAACAAATAAATAAAACAAGCTTATATTTTGGTTTCTGATGGGGTACGTCAGTTGAACTAAGCTCATGAGGCATCTATAAGTCATATTCTTCAAGAATCAATGGGTATTTATTATCAATTTAAATCTTACTTTAAAAATGGATGTAAGAACCGCAGATTGCCCCTTTAAAGTAATCATATGGCCTTTCCAGATGCAGAGGTTAAAGGGTTTTATCCTGTGAATTATTAATAAAGGACTTAACTGGTTTAGACAAGTGGCTATGTAGGTCATGTAAAGACAATGGTAGCGTCCCAAATGTCACCCTTTCCCTATATACCGCACTTCTTTTGACCGACGCCCCAAAGTAGTGCACTGTAAAGGGAATATGGCTCCATTTGGGACACAACCAATGTTTATGCTAATGTTAGCTCTGCTTAAACCTAGACTGTAAACAAATTCCTGTCAACAGCCATCTATAGTATAGTATAGTATAGTATAGTACATGCACAGTATAGTATAGTATAGTATAGTATAGTACATATATAGTATAGTGCACATATAGTATAGTATAGTACACATATAGTATAGTACACATATAGTATAGCACACATATAGTATAGTACATATATAGTATAGTATAGTACACATAGTATTGTATAGTGCACATATAGTATAGTATAGTACATGTATAGTATAGTATATTACATGTATAGTATACTATGGTATGTATATAGTATTGTAGAGTTAACATACAGTATAGTACATGTATAGTATAGTACACATATAGTATAGTATAGTACCTGTATAGTATATTATAGTACACATATATTATAATATAGTACATGTATAGTATAGTATAGTACACATATAGTATAGTAAAGTATGCATATAGTATAGTACACATATAGTATTGTAGAGTACACATATAGTATAGTATAGCACACATATGGTATAGTATCCATTTAGTATAGTACACATAGTATTGTAGAGTGCACATATAGTATAGTATAGTACATGTATAGTATAGTATATTACATGTATAGTATAGTGTAGTACACATATAGTATTGTAGAGTACACATATAGTATTGTATAGTACATGTATAGTACACATATATTATAGTATAGTACATGTATAGTATAGTATAGCACATAGTATAGTATAGCATATAGTATAGTACACATATAGTATTTCCAGGGTAGCACGCATGTAGTATAGTAAACATATAGTATTCACATAGTAGTACACATATAGTATAGTACACATATAGTATAGTATAGTACATGTATAGTATACACAGTGTTAAAATATTTTAAATAACGAAGCATACTAAGGCACAGTGATATATGCATGTGCATTAAAGACAACGCTCAATAAATATTGTTATTAAAGAACAGTAAATACTTACATCGTTTGCATCCACATTTCTTTATCCTTTTGGGATCTGTGATGTCATCGTGACAAGCTTTGCAGTAGAAAAGTGCCCTATGAAAACACCCCAGACATATTTTAGTATCCAACCATCAGTAAGTCCAAGATTAATTGAACATAATTTGATGTCAAACTCTATTTGGAGGCTTTCTGAGTCTTTTCTACAGAAAACAATTAGATACTTTCACCTACATGAACTGTACAAGTACCTACCTTTTAACTTCTTTGGCATCGCTGGCGATGAAGAACCCCAAGGTTCCTTCCTGCATCTTCACATGGTTCCCAGGGTTGATGAGGGTGCTGTCGTGAATACAAACAAAAATAAATGGCCGTCAATGAGGAGAATCATTATGTTACAGACAGTTAGCATCCTAATGCTCTAATCACGAGGAATGGTACACACTTAGACAAGAATGCTATCTGGTGTGAACAAACAGAGGTTGGTGACTGAAAGGTAGCTCATGAGAATCACTGTAAACAAATGTATATCAAAGTTGTCACTGGTATTATGAAATTGACTGCATCATCCAATGGGAATTTGTGATGTAATCATACAGTATGATGAACATATAGAACCTCCACCTGTCAAGGATGGGAATGAACATTCAGGTAACGTCGGGTGTCTGAGATGGAAGAACATTAGAGCTAAGGTACTGTATCCTAGCCTGGTCACCCCAGAACTGCTTGTGTTGTATAGCCAACTCCTTTGGTCGTTGGCTTTATAGCACAACCATACCTGTATCCTGGTCACCCCAGAACTGCGACAAATCACATAGTCTGTTACATGGACTCGCTCTGTTTTAAATAATAGGGGTAACCCTTCATCTGTCCCCCCATACATTCAACATCTGTAAGGTCCTTCAGTCAAGTATTGAATTTCAAAGCACAAATTCAACTACAAAGACCAGGGAGCTTTTGGAAAGCCTCATAAAGAAGGGCAGTGATTGGTAGATGGGTAAAAATAACAAATCAGATATTGAATATATCTTTAAGCATGGTCAAGTTAATAATCATGCTGTGGATTATGTATTAAACCACCCAGATACATCAAAGATGCAGTCGTCCTTCTGAACTGAGCTGCAGGACAGGAAGGAAACTGCTCAGGGATGTCACCATGAGGCCATTGGTGATTTTAAAACAGCTACAGAGTTCAATGGCTGTGACAGGAGAAAACTGAGGATGGACCAACAACATTGTAGTTACTCCACAATAATGACCTAAACGACAGAGTGAAAAGAAGAATACAAATATACAGAATAAAACATGCATCCTGTATGCAACAACGCACTAAAGTAACACTTTTTGGCCTAAATACAAAGCCTTATGTTTGGGGCAAATCCAACACAACACATCACTGAGTAACTGCCTCCTTATTTTCAAGCATGGTGGTGGCAAATACTGGGGAGTTTTTCAGGATAAAAAGAAACGGGATGGAGCTAAGCACAGGCAAAATCCTAGAGGAAAACCTGCAGTTACCAGAGACTGGGAGAGGAATTCACCTTTTCAGCAGGACAATAACCTACAACACAAGACCAAATCTACACTGGAGTTGCTTACCAAGAAGACGGTGAATGTTCCTGAGCGGCGAAGTTACAGTTTTGACTTACAGTACCAGTCAAAAGTTTAGACACATCTACTCATTCAAGGGTTTTTCTTTATTTTTACTATTTTCTACATTGTAGAATAATAGTGAAGGCATCAAAACTATAAAATAGCACATATGGAATCACGCAGTAACCAAAAAAGTGTTATACAAATCAAAATACATTTTATATTTGATATTCTTCAAATAGCCACCCTTTGCCTTGATGACAGCTTTTTTGTCAACTTTCTATAAACAACGAGGAAACGTCCCCCAATAAAGTGTGCCAGTTAGTGATTACTACTGTGTATGAAGTGAAGTTTAAATGACAATAGATCACAGTCAGGACAGCTGTATTGTCATGGCAGTCTGGATATTGAGGTTTGCAAATGTCTGCATGTTAAAACATTTGGCAAATGGATAACCTGTATGGTGCTGCATGCGACTTGGTTCAACATTATTTTTTACAATACAATGTCTGACAAACATCACGTAGTACAATTGGCCAATGTATAATACACAGGTAGGAGTGTCTTGACCTCTGAATGCTCAGCTATGAAAAGCCAACTGACATTTACTCCTGAGGTGCTGACCTGTTGCACCCTCTACAACCACTGTGATTATTATTTGACCCTGCTGGTCATCTATGAACGTTTGAACACCTTGGAGAACAATCTGGCCTTTAATGGCCATGTACTCTTATAATCTCCACCCGGCACAGCCAGAAGAGGACTGGCCACCCCTCAGAGCCTGGTTCCTCTCTAGGTTTCTTCCTAGGTTTCTGCCTTTCTAGGGAGCTTTTCCTAGCCACCGTGATTCTACATCTCCTTTGCTTGCATTTTGGGTTTTTAGGCTGGGTTTCTGTATAAGCACTTTGTGACAACTGCTGATGTAAAAAGGTCTTTATTAATAAATTTGATTTGATTTGAACTGTACCTGCTTTCCCTTATATCAGACTTGTACTCGATAGCGATCAGTAGCAGCTTCAGCTTCACATAGCAGAGTCTAGACAGGAGCATTCAGAAACATCAATATGAATACACAATCATGGGATGAATGAGAGAAGAGAGAAGAGAGAGAGAGAGAGAGGAGAGAGAGGGAGAGAGAGGACAGAGAGAGTGAGAGATGAGCGAGGAGAGTGAGGAGGGGCTCTGGGAGCTGCAACACGAGCTGATCCAGACGAGAGAGAGGAGTTAGAAGATCTCTCTCGATCGGTCGATACGCGGTAGTCTAGGAAGCTTATATGCCGAGAGAGACTGCTACGAGAGACCCATCTTCGATACTAGGGCTAGAACAGTCTATAGTCGTCATCCTCTGTACCGATAGAGTCTTTCTTATCATAGGACATACGAGATAGCTCATATGCTTTCTCCTGATTTCCGAGGGATAAAAAAGGAGATTCGTCTACTATATCTACATAATCATCTAGATCCGGGAGAGATCGATGAGAGAGAGAGAGGTGGGGTTGATGGTTGATTGAATATCATTGATATAGTAGGTACTTCAGAAAACAGGGTCATACTTACTCACAAATGGTGGGGAAGGATAGACCCACAAAGGCACTAGACAGGTACTCAGTGTACATTTCATTGGCTACTCCTTCCAGGTAATACTTCTGCCACGTGTCCTCTTCAATCTGACACAATAACAGATAAAACATGGCTTGCAAATGTACAACATGTTATCATGAACATACTTTTATTTGACTCGCACAAACGTTAACAAAGTGACCATAAAGCAAATAACCCTGTAAATGTAGGTACATCTACAAAATAGTCTGAATATTCCCTTCATTAGTCTCGACTAGGACCCAGGCACCTACAGACAAAGTGTGACCAGAAGATGGAGAACAATGCTGTACAAAAGCCTGTGAAAAAGTGGAATAGTATTAGTTCAATATCCCCAGCTCTTCCTGGTCATTAGAGCTGGATTTGAACGAGCGACCTAGGGATTACAATCTGTTTAGCTCTCCCCAACATGTACCTTGATGAAGGACCTCATGGAGAATAGGTTGGCCAGCATAGTGGAGAGGCCTTGAGCCAGACAACTCTGTGCGATGAAGCCAAGCTTCAGCTCAGCAAGACAAATGGCGTCGTCACCCTCCTTCCAGTTCCAACTGGGAATGTTCAAAAGGTGGGCCTGGGGACACGCAGGAAAGATGCAGGGATATTAAGGTTCCAAAAATGTTGGTAACTGTCACATAATTCCCAGGCTTTCTAGAAATCCTGGTTGGAGGATTCCGAATGTCCTGCTTAATCCATTCTGATTCCGGGATTCTGGGAAAACCTGGGAATTGTGGGAAAATTACCAGAATTTTTGCAGGTGCAAGAGGAGCCTCCGCTAGAGTTCAATGAGACAGTGTAATCAGTAGCACTCTGAAGGGGTTGTACTGAACACACCTTGTTGTGGTACTGCAACATCTGGGTAATGATTCTGATCTTCGGGTGGTAGTTCTTGATGGATATCACCCTGGAATATTGTTACAACGAACAACGTAAGACCCATCTACAGAGTCCTAGGACTCAGTAGATACACAGTTTTCTTCCTTAGGGAACTTGAGAGTTGACATTGGCGTATTGTAAGGCAGTCAGTTATAACAGTTCAATTCTCTTTGGTACTTTATGTATTATCAATGCATTTCTCCAAAATACATTTTCACATACTCTCAAGCATAATCTTTGTCATCTAGTCATGTATCAAAGGGGATAGTAAATTGAATATGTTTTGTATATCAACATAACTTTACAATGGATATTTGTACAACACAATAGGTTGGTTAAATTGTCTCAGTACCTCATGATGTTGGAAGCATCCTCAGCATCAGGGTCTGCACAGTATTTATTAGCTAGGATCAAACAGGCGTCTGCTGACTCTATCTGAGGGATGACAGAGAGATTAAGACCTGACTATCTGAGGGATGACAGAGAGATTAAGACCTGACTATCTGAGGGATGACAGAGAGATTAAGACCTGACTATCTGAGGGATGACAGAGAGATTAAGACCTGACTATCTGAGGGATGACAGAGAGATTAAGACCTGACTATCTGAGGGATGACAGAGAGATTAAGACCTGACTATCTGAGGGATGACAGAGAGATAAGACCTGACTATCTGAAGGATGACAGAGAGATTAGACCTGACTATCTGAGGGATGACAGAGAGATTAGACCTGACTATCTGAGGGATGACAGAGAGATAAGACCTGACTATCCGAGGGATGACAGAGAGATAAGACCTGACTATCTGAGGGATGACAGAGAGATAAGACCTTTGAGACATCATCTGAGGATGACAGAGAGATTAGACCTGACTATCTGAGGGATGACAGAGAGATAAGACCTGACTTAATCAGAGGTAGATGACGAGGAAAGAGATAAGACCTGACTATCTGAGGGATGACAGAGAGATAAGACCTGACTATCTGAGGGATGACAGAGAGATTAAGACCTGACTACCTGAGGGATGACAGAGAGATTAAGACCTGACTATCTGAGGGATGACAGAGAGATTAAGACCTGACTATCTGAGGGATGACAGAGCGACTAGATTAAGAACTGACTCTATACAGACAGAGCCTGAGTCCCAAATGGCATCCAATGGCCCATAGGGCTCTGGTCAATAGTAGTGCACTATGTAGGGAATAGGGTACCATTTGGGATGCAGGCAGACTCAGGACATTAGACAGATGCCAACCACCCAGGTGCTTCATCTAAAGACACCACAGCAGCATCAAAGAGATCATAACTACATTAATTCAGAGCTATGAACAGTAGCTATCATACATCACAGAGCATTTCACTTCTAACTTCTAACAAAGTATTATGTTCTTGTCGTATTTAGGCTATTTATTTACCTTTTATAAATCTCAATGACTTACCTGGCTGCTAAATGATGTGTCAATGAATGTTTGACAGTAAAAAAACAAACAATACAATTATAAAAACCTTTGTGAACTCTTTATAAAGGTAACTGTATTGTAACTCTTTATGAAGGTAACCAACCGTATTGTAACTCTTTATAAAGGTAACCAACCGTATTGTAACTCTTTATAAAGGTAACCAACCGTATTGTAACTCTTTATAAAGGTAACCAACCGTATTGTAACTCTTTATAAAGGTAACCAACCGTATTGTAACTCTTTATAAAGGTAACCAACTGTATTGTAACTCTTTATAAAGGTAACTGTATTGATCTTTATAAAGTAACCATATTGTAACTCTTATATAAGGTAACCAACTATTGTAACTCTTTATAAAGGTAACCAAACAGTATTGTAACTCTTTATAAAGGTAACCAAACTGTATTGTAACTCTTTATAAAGGTAACCAACCGTATTGTAACTCTTTATAAAGGTAACCAACCGTATTGTAACTCTTTATAAAGGTAACCAACCGTATTGTAACTCTTTATAAAGGTAACTGTATTGTAACTCTTTATAAAGGTAACCAACCGTATTGTAACTCTTTATAAAGGTAACCAACCGTATTGTAACTCTTTATAAAGGTAACTGTTTTGTAAGTGTGACCAAATTGACTTTATACAATAAGGAACTGCTACAGTTCTTGAAGAGTTGGCTGGAGAATGCACTGTTGAGGCTGTTTGCTCTGCTAGCGGCTGTGAGGAATGAGTCAGGTAGATTCATATGCATTGAAACAGGCCGGTTACCTTGACTCTGGCCAGGTCGTGTGGGTTGAGAACGGACCCCTGGTAGAACTCCACCTGGGTGAAGTGCCGTTTAAACAAGGCTTCCAGCTCAAGATTAGGGGAAATACTGGGATAGAAAGTAAGAGTTTGTTAATGTTAACCGAGGCCTTCACCTCAAGATTAGGTTTAGCACTGGGATAGACAGGAGACATGTGTTAATGGGGTCTGAGTGGGGTCTCTCCTCAGCAAGTCAATGTGCAATTCATTGTGTAGTAATTGAAGTGTAATTTATTGTCACGCATTACAATAAATGTAGCTGGCTGGCTCTACCAACGGTTTCCATGGATCTGGATGCTTATCAGGATATAGTCATTGTAGAGTCTGAGTATTCCAAACCAAGGGAAAGGTGGTGGCAGTTCCCGAAAGGTTGTTTGGGTCATTTATGGGAGCTGCTATCACCTTTCCTTCTCTGAAACACTCAGTATTGTTATGAGTCTTGGGGCCATTTTCCCAGACTCAGATTAAACCTAAAGTCCTGGAATAAAACACACTTTTAATGGACTTTCAATTTCCCATTGAGTATGGTTTTTTTAAGTCAAGGACTAGGCATAATCTGGGTCCGGGAAACTGGCCCGTAAAGTGTAAAGGAAAAAACTTGGTACACTTACTTATGGAGAAAAACAATTTCTACACTGACATCATCCCTGTCCTTGTGTAGGAAGTCTTTCAGGAAGTTGGACACACTTTCAAGGGTAATATGACCACAGACCACGATGTGCCTACAGGAAATAAGATCCAGGAATAGTCATAAGACTTAAACTATGGTTTGCTAAAAGCTGCAGCCAAAATAAGGACGTTGATAAAACTGCTGAAGGGATGTTTCACATTCTTTCTTGACTCTGAAAATAAAGTGAAATCATATGTTGGATCTGACAGAAGAAAAAAAAAAAGTGTCCACGCCACAGTAAAAAGTCAATAAAAAAAAGGACCTGAAAAAGTATGTTTCTTTGTAGACAAAAAAAAAAGACATATCATTCTCCCTGGTTTCTACAGTACATGTTCTTTTGATGAACAGCAGTCCATTGTTATGTGAACAGGTGGCAGTACTAAAGCCCTTATACTGTACAGTCAGTTCTGTGTAAGGCCTGAAGGACAGGTCAGGAAAGATCACAGAGCAGAGCGCATTCTGGCTTCCCAGTAGCAGATTAAAAAGGATGAGAATTTCCTTTTTTGGAGATTACGATGCGATTGCTACATTTCTACAATCCAGGAAAGAGCTTATCTTTAGCAAGATACATCTTGCCTCCACATTGGGGTAGCTTTCCATCAGACAGTGTCCCTGCTACAGGATAGTACCTGCAGGATTGTGAGATAAACTCTTCATCGTGAGATAAACTCAGGATGGGGTTAAGAAGGGCATTTCTTTAAGCTGTTATTGCAATGGTCAGTTCCATCACGTACCAAACCTACAAGTAATATATACATACTGACAACTCACATACTGCACATGGTATTGAAATAAGTCTAACATTGTATCTTATTCCATTTCTTATTTATCGTATTGTATCTTGTTTATGTTATAGCATTGGGTATATTATTATGTGAATATTACTGAGATGTTCTATTGATATTTATATATGAAAATGGGAATGTATAGACAGTGTGACAGAGACATAAGAAAATGAATCACTTGAAACAGAAATACTTCAGAATGCAGAAGGAAGGAGAAGATAATCAATTACCAACACAGGCTTTGACTAAAGAGACTTGGCTAACGAGACTTGACTAAAGAGACTTGACTAAAGAGACTTGACTAGTGACTTGCTAAAGATACTTGACAAGAGACTTGCCTAAAGAGTGTACTACACGTAAAGAGTAAGAACAACTAGAGCTTGCTACAAATGAAAGAACTTCGCTAGACTAATACTTACGAGTCAGTAGAACAGTGTGCTAAAGGTTGACTAGAGACTTCTAAGAAACTACTAAAGAACTTGCTCAAAACTATGATTAAAAGTGCTAAAGACTTTCCATAATAGAGTACTGTATTATACGATTCTAAAGAGAGTTACTAAAGATACTTTGACTATAGAGACTTAGCTAAGAGACTGATAAAGAATGACTTGAAAAACTGGCTAAAGGGATTCTTGACTTAATAGAGATTGACGTAAAGAAAATATTAGACTAGAAACTTGACTAAAGAACTTGACTAAAGAGACTTGACATAAAGAGACTTGACTAAAGAACTTGTATTTATGAACTTGGCTAAGAGACTTGACTAGACAAGGACTTGACTAGAGACTTGACTAAAGAGACTTGGCTAAAGAGACTTGACTAAGAGAGACTTGACTTCAAAGAGACTTACTAAAGAGGACTTGGACTAAAGAGACTTGGCTAAAGAGACTTGGACTTAAAGAGACTTGACTAAGAGGACTTGACTAAAGAACTTGCTAAAGGACTTGATAAAGGCTGCTAAGAGAACTTGGCTAAAGAGACTTGACTAAAGAGACTCTAGGACTTAAAGAGACTTGACTAAAGAGACTGCTAAAGAGACTTGCTAAAGAGACTTGACTAAAGAGACTTGGACTAAAGAGACTTGCTAAAGAGACTTACTAAGAGACTTTGTAGAGACTTGACTAAAGAGACTTGACTAAAGAGACTTGGCTAAAGAGACTTGCTAAAGAGATGACTACTACTTGTAAAGAACTTGACTAAGAGACTGACTAAAGAGACTTGACTAAAGAGACTGACTGAAGAGACTTGCTAAAGAGACTTGACTAAAGAGACTTGACTAAGAGACGACTAAAACTTCTAAAGAGACTTGCTAAAGAGACTTGCTAAAGAGACTTGCTAAAGAGACTTGACTAAAGAGACTTGACTAAAGAGATGACTAAAGAGACTTGACTAAAGAGACTTGACTAAAGTAAGACTTGCTAAAGAGACTTGACTAAAGAGACTTGACTAAAGAGACTTGACTAAAGAATGACTGGACTGTAAAGAACTTGCTAAAGAGACTTGACTAAAGAGACTTGCTAAAGAGACTTGACTAAGAACTTGACTAAAAACTTGACTAAAGAGACTTGACTAAAGAGACTTACTAAAGAGACTTGACTAAGAGACTTGACTAAAGAGACTTGCTAAGAGACTTGCCTAAAAAGACTTGACTAGAGACTTGACTAAAGAGACTTGGCTAAAGAGACTTGCTAAAGAGACTTGACTAAAGAGACTTGCCTAAAGAGACTTGGCTAAAGAGACTTGACTAAAGAGACTTGGCTAAAGAGACTTGACTAAAGAGACTTGGCTAAAGAGACTTGACTAGAGACTTGACTAAAGAGACTTGGCTAAAGAGACTTGACTAAAGAGACTTGGTTAAAGAGACTTGACTAAAGAGACTTGCCTAAAGAGACTTGCCTAATTAGACTTGACTAGAGACTTGACTAAAGAGACTTGCCTAAAAAGACTTGACTAGAGAATTGACTAAAGAGACTTGACTAAAGAGACTTGACTAAAGAGACTTGCTAAAGATAAGGACTTGCTAAAGAGACTTGCTAAAGAGACTTGACTAAATGACTAGACTTGGCTAAAGAGACTTGACTAAAGAGACTTGTGTAAAGAGACTTGACTAAAGAGACTTGCCTAAAGAGACTTGCCTAATTAGACTTGACTAGAGACTTGACTAAAGAGACTTGACTAAAGAGATTTTGCTAAAGAAACCTGACTAAAGAGACTTGCCTAAAGAGACTTGCTAAAGAGACTTGACAAGAGACTTGCCTAAAAAGACTTGACTAGAGACTTGACTAAAGAGACTTGGCTAAAGAGACTTGACTAAAGAGACTTGCCTAAAAGACTTGACTAAAGATTGCTAGAGACTTGCTAAGAGACTTCTAAAAGACTTGACTAGAGACTTGCCTAAAGAGACTTGCTAAAGATGACTAAAGAGACTTGCTAAAGAGACTTGACTAAAGAGACTTGGCTAAAGAGACTGATAGACTTGACTAAAGAGACTTGCTAGAGACTGATAAGCACTTGTAAAGAGACTTGACTAAAGAGACTTGCCTAAAGACTTGCAATAGACTTGACTAGAGACTTGACTAAGAGACTTGCTAAAAGACTTGACTAAGAATTGACTAAGAATAAAGAGACTTGACTAAAGAGACTTGACTAAAGAACTTGACTAAAGAGACTTGACTAGGACTTGCTAAGAGACTTGACTAAAGAGACTTGCTAAAGAGACTTGACTAGAGACTTGCTAAAGAGACTTGACTAGAGACTTGACTAAAGAGACTTGACTAAAGAGACTTGACTAAAGAGACTTGATAAAGAGACTTGCTAAAGAGACTTGCTAAAGAGACTTGCCTAAAGAGACTTGCCTAAAGAGACTTGCCTAAAAAAAGAATGATAGAGAATGACTAAGAGACTTGACTAAAGAGACTTGACTAAAGACGACTTGGCTCAAAGAAAACTTGACTTAAAAGAGACTTGACTAAAGAGACTTGAATAAGAACTTGGACTAAAGAGGACTTGCACTAAGAGACTTGGCTAACGAGGACTTGACCTAAAGAGACTTGGCTAAAGAGACTTGGACTATTCAGAGACTTGGCTAAAGAAGACTTGACTAAAACGACCCTTGACTAAGTAGACATGGCTAAAGAGACTTGCCTAAGGAGACTTGCCTAAAGAGACTTGACTAGAGACTTGACTAAAGAGACTTGACTAAAGAGACTTGCCTAAAGAGACTTGACTAGAGACTTGACTAAAAAGACAAGACTAAAGAGACTTGACTAAAGAGACTTGGCTAAAGAAACTTGACTAAAGAGACTTGACTAGAGACTTGGCTAAAGAGACTTGACTAAAGAGACTTGCCTAAGTGGACTTGGACTAAAAGACTTGCCTAAAGAGACTTGACTAGAGACTTGACTAAGAGATTGCAAGAACTTGACTAAAGAGACTAAGAGACTTGCTAAAGAGACTTGGCTAAAGAGACTTGACTAAAGAGACTTGCTAAGAGCTTGGCTAAGAACTTGACTAAAGAGACTTGCTAAACGAGACTTGACTAAAGAGACTTGACTAAAAAGACTTGACTAAGACTTGCCTAAAGAGACTTGCCTAAAAAGACTTGACTAGAGACTTGACTAGAGACTTGACTAAAGAGACTTGACTAAAGAGACTTGAATAAAGAGACTTGCCTAGAGACTTGACTAAAGAGACTTGACTAAAGAGACTTGGCTAAAGAGACTTGGCTAAAGAGACTTGACTAAAGAGACTTGACTAAAGAGACTTGACTAAAGAGACTTGACTAAAGAGACTTGACTAAAAAGACTTGACTAAAGAGACTTGGCTAAAGAAACTTGACTAAAGAGACTTGACTAAAGAGACTTGACTAAAGAGACTTGACTAAAAAGACTTGACTAAACAGACTTGCCTAAAGAGACTTGCCTAAAGAGACTTGACTAGAGACTTGAATAGAGACTTGGCTAAAGAGACTTGACTAAAGAGACTTGACTAAAGAGACTTGACTAAAGAGACTTGACTAAAGAGACTTGACTAAAGAGACTTGACTAGAGACTTGACTAAAGAGACTTGGCTAAAGAGACTTGGCTAGAGAGACTTGACTAAAGACACTTGACTAAAGACACTTGGCTAAAGAGACTTGACTAAAGAGACTTGACTAAAGAGACTTGACTAAAAGGAAGTCCCAAAAAATTATCCACAACAAATTAAACAACAAAAAATGTAAAAGCGAGCCAAGAGTAGTTCTTTCAGAGGGTTGAGGCATCCAGGGATTTAGGGCAGAATCCTACTGTACTTTGAGAAACACGTGTGTAACTTGAATTTCTGCGTGAATCATGCATTGATTGATGTCAATGGGAGATTTGCATGGAAATTTGAGTTATGCGCACACATCTCAAGGTAGTGTTTGGCCCTCAGGGTGTAGGTCTGACTGAAGATTAAGGCCAGGAATGTAGCAGGGCTTGGAAAATCAAATGAACTGGTGGTACCAGACAAAAAAAAAAACAAGGAAATAAAAGTTAACTAGAAGCAAGCGAGGAACATGCAAGAGCGTATGTGGACATGCAAAAGATGCAAAAAGTGGGTAGCTAGACCACTTTATTAACATTCATTTCAAATAATCTGGGAGTAAATTAAATGTAGATTAGCTGATTATTTAACCGCAGGTTAGTCCCTTCTTGTAAATCTGTTTGTTAGGACACTAAAGACAAGTATTATTATTTGTTGTTATTGTGCAATATTTTCAATGACATCATCTCTGTCATCAAGATAGGACACATCATGTTAAAAATGCAGTACATTCATGAATTTAGAAATGCTATAAAAAATTACTACAGCTATAGTTGGAATCAGTCCTGACTTTACGTGCAAAGAAAAAAAAAAATATATATATATATAATAATATTTGCATTGTGGTGGGTGGCAAGATGCATATGATTGGCAAACACAAAACACAGATACAAACATGTAAGCGTTCTAGTAAATAAACGAGCAAAACACTCAAGCATATAGCAAATAATGCTTTTGACACAATGACGGGCTAGCACACAAATACCGGTACAAAGCAATAGTGTAAGCTTTTCATGGCCAAACTCTCCAGTCACCTGTGTGACTCCCCCCCCCCCCCCCCCCAAAAAACAAAACAAATAATAATAATAATAATAATAATAATCTCTACTTTTCAATATAAAACATTTTAGAATAATTACTGGTACCCCTCTTTAGGAGAGGGGGAAACTTGAGAAGTCACACCAAAACCACACCTTTTAGAATCATTTTTTGTTTGTTTATTTGTTTGACTTACTTTCTGCCTCGGGTCGAGTTATAACTCCCTCCATATTTCTTCCGATTAAGGATGAGAGCAGCAATTTCTGGCACGTAGCGAGCAAACATGGCCTACATGCATGGAACAGAGAAAGAAAAGGGCATGCAGAGGACAGTTCTACTGCAGGCAGAGGCAGTAGAGCCTCCCAGTGATACTTACTTTCTCCCATTAACCGCACTATAGGAACCACCATATTTCTTGCGGTTTCCTATTAACTCTATGATTTCAGGGACGTAGCTCGCAAACATGGCCTAAGGAGAAGATAGGAGACAGAAGAAGAGACTAAAAAAAAGATAGGCAAAAGAGAGAGCAGGGCGTCTATTTTTGCTTAAAATGTATCCGTAAAATCTGAAAATTCAAGAATAAAAAAAAAAAAAAAAAAAAAGAAATAGAATAGAAAATGTGCAAAAACTGTTAACTGCTCTGGATACAATAGGTGATAGATATAAAAAAGTTAGATTATTACATTATGGTAAAAGTTAGAACACAATCTGAAATCATGTAAAGTTTTTTCATATTCAGATTCTAGGGAGAGAGAAAAAAAAGATAAGCAATGAAGAAAAAAAAGTCAGGAAATTTAACTTAACCAGCTTTTACGGATATTTAGTTAGGAAAAAAAGCAGGAAAAAATGACACAGTTGGCCAACTGTATGCCAATCTGTGATTTAAAAAGTTTAGAGTAATAAAAGGGAGAAAAAACCTTAAATGCCATGTTTTGTCCAACAAACACTTATGCCAGGTTGATTAGAATAGTACAGCCTACTGTAACATAGCTGCACATCAATTCATTAAATTAGCTAAACTATTATGTATTAATAGAATATATGTTAAGCCTTGTGTGTGCTTAAATTTGGCTTGTAATGTAATGTATAAATGTAGAGTATATACAACATATATATTTAACTTATATATATATAACTTATATACAGTATTGTTTACATGTATATAAACTATATAAAGAAATGTACATAAACGTATATAAACTTGTATTGGTAATGTCACTTTGATAATACTCAGGCACAATGTCCAGAGATGAAGGAGACGCCTTTCAATGACTCCAACTACTGAAGTAGTCCTGTACTACTGTCTGAACTAACTACTATAGTAGTACTGTACTACTGTCTGAACTAACTACTATAGTAGTCCTGTACTACTGTCTGAACTAACTACTATAGTAGTCCTGTACTACTGTCTGAACTAACTACTATAGTAGTCCTGTACTACTGTCTGAACTAACTACTATAGTAGTCCTGTACTACTGTCTGAACTAACTACTATAGTAGTACTGTACTACTGTCTGAACTAACTACTATAGTAGTCCTGTACTACTGTCTGAACTAACTACTATAGTAGTACTGTACTACTGTCTGAACTAACTACTATAGTAGTACTGTACTACTGTCTGAAACTAACTACTATAGTAGTACTGTACTACTGTCTGAACTAACTACTATAGTAGTACTGTACTACTGTCTGAACTAACTACTATAGTAGTACTGTACTACTGTCTGAACTAACTACTATAGTAGTACTGTACTACTGTCTGAACTAACTACTATAGTAGTACTGTACTACTGTCTGAACTAACTACTATAGTAGTACTGTACTACTGTCTGAACTAACTACTATAGTAGTACTGCACTACTGTCTGAACTAACTACTATAGTAGTACTGTACTACTGTCTGAACTAACTACTATAGTAGTCCTGTAGTACTGTCTGAACTAACTACTATAGTATTACTGTACTACTGTCTGAACTAACTACTATAGTAGTACTGTACTACTGTCCTGAACTAACTACTATAGTAGTACTGTACTACTGTCTGAACTAACTACTATAGTAGTCCTGTACTACTGTCTGAACTAAACTACTATAGTAGTACTGTACTACTGTCTGAAACTAACTACTATAGTAGTACTGTACTACTGTCTGAACTAACTACTATAGTAGTACTGTACTCACTGCCTGAACTAACTACTATAGTAGTCCTGTACTACTGTCTGAACTAACTACTATAGTAGTACTGTACTACTGTCTGAACTAACTACTATAGTAGTCCTGTACTACTGTCTGAACTAACTACTATAGTAGTACTGTACTACTGTCTGAACTAACTACTATAGTAGTCATGTACTACTGTCTGAACTAACTACTATAGTAGTACTGTACTACTGTCTGAACTAACTACTATAGTAGTACTGTACTACTGTCTGAACTAACTACTATAGTAGTACTGTAGTACTGTCTGAACTAACTACTATAGTAGTACTGTACTACTGTCTGGAACTAACTACTATAGTAGTACTGTACTACTGTCTGAACTAACTACTATAGTAGTACTGTACTACTGTCTGAACTAACTACTATAGTAGTACTGTACTACTGTCTGAACTAACTACTATAGTAGTACTGTACTACTGTCTGAACTAACTACTATAGTAGTACTGTACTACTGTCCTGAACTAACTACTATAGTAGTACTGTACTACTGTCTGAACTAACTACTATAGTAGTACTGTACTACTGTCTGAAACTAACTACTATAGTAGTACTGTACTACTGTCTGAACTAACTACTATAGTAGTACTGTACTACTGTCTGAACTAAATACTATAGTAGTACTGTACTACTGTCTGAACTAACTACTAATAGTACTGTACTACTGTCTGAACTAACTACTATAGTAGTACTGTACTACTGTCTGAACTAACTACTATAGTAGTCCTGTACTACTGTCTGAACTAACTACTATAGTAGTACTGTACTACTGTCTGAACTAACTACATAGTAGCTGTACTACTGTCTGAAACTAATACTATAGTAGTACTGTACTACTGTCTGAACTAACTACTATAGTAGTACTGTACTACTGTCTGAACTAAACTACTATAGTAGTACTGTACTACTGTCTGAACTAACTACTATAGTAGTACTGTACTACTGTCTGAACTAACTACTATAGTAGTACTGTACTACTGTCTGAACTAAACTACTATAGTAGGTACCTGTACTACTGTCTGAACTAACTACTATAGTGTACTGTACTACTGTCCTGAACTAACTACTATAGTAGTCCTGTACTACTGTGCTGAACTACAATACTATAGTTAGTACTGTACTACGGTTCTGAACTAACTACTATAAGTAGTCCCTGTACTACTGTCTGAACTAACTACTATAGTAGTCCTGTACTACTGTCTGATACTAACTACTATAGTAGTACTGTACTACTGTCTGAACCTAACTACTATAGTAGTCCTGTACTACTGTCTGAACTAACTACTATAGTAGTACTGTACTACTACTGTCTGAACTTAACTACTATAGTAAGTACTGTACTACTGTCCTGAACTAACTACTATAGTAGTACTGTACTACTGTCCTGAACTACTACTATAGTAGTCCTGTACTACTGTTCTGAACTAACCTTAGTATACGACTCTGCCTGAACTACTACTATGTATTACTTACTACTGTCTGGAACTAAACTACTATAGTAGTACTGTACTACTTACTGCCTGAACTAACTACTATAGGTAGTACTGTACTTCCTGTCTGGAACTAACTACTATAGTAGTACTGTACTACTGGTCTGAACTAACTACTATAGTAGTCCTGTACTACTGTCTGAACGAACTACTATAGTAGTACTGTACTACTGTCTGAACTAACTACTATAGTAGTACTGGTACTACTGTCTGAACTAACTACTATAGTAGTACTGTACTACTGTCTGAACTAACTACTATAGTAGTACTGTACTACTGTCTGAACTAACTACTATAGTAGTACTGTACTACTGTCTGAACTAACTACTATAGTAGTACTGTACTACTGTCTGAACTAACTACTATAGTAGTACTGTACTACTGGTCTGAACTAACTACTATAGTAGTACTGTACTACTGTCTGAACTAACTACTATAGTAGTCCTGTAGTACTGTCTGAACGAACTACTATAGTAGTACTGTACTACTGTCTGAACTAACTACTATAGTAGTACTGTACTACTGTCTGAACTAACTACTATAGTAGTACTGTACTACTGTCTGAACTAACTACTATAGTCCTGTAATACGTCTGAACGAACTACTATAGGTCTGTACTACTGTCTGAACTAACTACTATAGTAGTACTGTACTACTGTCTGAACTAACTACTATAGTAGTACTGTACTACTGTCTGAACTAACTACTATAGTAGTACTGTACTACTGTCTGAACTAACTACTATAGTAGTACTGTACTACTGTCTGAACTAACTACTATAGTAGTCCTGTACTACTGTCTGAACTAACTACTATAGTAGTCCTGTACTACTGTCTGAACTAACTACTATAATAGTACTGTACTACTGTCTGAACTAACTACTATAGTAGTACTGTACTACTGTCTGAACTAACTACTATAGTAGTACTGTACTACTGTCTGAACTAACTACTATAGTAGTACTGTACTACTGTCTGAACTAACTACTATAGTAGTCCTGTAGTACTGTCTGAACGAACTACTATAGTAGTACTGTACTACTGTCTGAACTAAGCCTTCTTCCATTGTTATCCAAAATAGAAATAATCAAGTAAAATCAACATAATAACAGTTGAATGGTTTAGCTTGCATCATGCTAACTGTCTGCTGTGTGTTACTGGTATAAACTGATGTGCCATGTTGACCATCACGCTGGTCTATACATCATTCCTTTCACTGTGTTTGTTGGAATTTGGGGAGGGGGAAGCTCAAGCATTGGGTCATCTGAAACCGTACATTATTTTAGTTAACAGTGGGAACCATTATCAAACCAATCTTACTCGGTTTGAACCATACAGCAATTCAGTATATACTCAGAAATAAAACTATACAATATGATAATAGTAAATGTAAATGTATATACCTTCAGTGCAGTTATTATATAATAAGTATTATAGGCGTATAATACTTACAAATATAATACATTTGACAATAATTAACTGCCATGGGTAACTCAGCCACAACAAAACATCAACTACAAGACAATAATAGAGCTTCGATTTCAACAGGCTTTGAAGTGCAAAGACTTTCCAGCTATTGGTAAGAGCAGCAGGGATAGGTATCATGATGGTTGGAGGTGTGATCGTATGCATGAAGGATATAAGCGTTATATAGGATTATATATATAATAAAATAAGAGGGATTTTTACCAAACCACCAAGGATGAAGAACACCATGAAAAGTCGGCCCAGGGTGGTTTTTGCATACACGTCTCCATAGCCCACAGTGGACATGGTAACCATGAGCAAGTAGACACATTCCCAGTAGGAAAGTGACTGGGAATTTTGGAAGTTTTCCCAAGGATCCCCTGAGTTTTCCACCTAGAACAAAGGTCAAAATACTGGATATTGAAAGAGAGGAAAATGCAGAGCCTTTTTCATGTACTCAAATCTTGTATTACAACTTACTTACTCACTCTCACTCACTCACTCACTCACTCACTCCCTCACTCACTCACTCACTCACTCACTCACTCCCTCACCTAATGTATTATTTGCATACTCAGTTATTTACTTAGTTACTTTGTTACTCACTCACTTATAACTTATCAATGATGTACTGTCTCCAGAACTGTAATAAACATTTTCATAAGCAATGACTATGTTACCATTTAAAGGCCCTACACATTTTAAAAACAGACTCAAACATATTCCAGTTATAACATTAATTAAGGTGAGGCATTGTGTAGCTATATCTCTGTAGGATATCTCTGTAGGATATCTACTGAATGTAGGATATCTCTGTAGGATATCACTGTAGGATATCGCTGAAGGATATCGCTGTAGAATATCTCTGTAGCTATATCTCTGTAGCTGTATCTCTGTAGGATATCTCTGTAGATATATCTCTCTGTAGGATATGTATGTAGCCCTTTCCTGCAGTCAAATTACCAAACCTCCCTCTAGTGGGATCATGGGTGGAATGTTATTCATATTTTTCATAATTTCATAATTAATCAACATATATTTTTTTTTTTTACTGCTGAAAATCCGGTGTTTCTATGTCAAACGGTTTTGTTACATTTCAGTCTTCTGTGATGTATATAAAGTGTAATATTGGGAAGCAAACTCAAAATTGAATACATTTAAACTCTATATCTGACATGGTACAGGTGTCTTATTTTTCTTTAAGCCCATAACCATATGTGTGTGAGGTGTATACTTTTCTTTCAAAGTAGATTTGTTTAAGACTACCTAGAATCACTCTGTGTGACCCTGATTTAGCCCACTGCAGTGTCAAAAGGGGCTAGGTCGTGCAATACTTTACTTAAAATGAATGTCCATCCCTGTCTGTTAGATGTGTCAGAGACTGAATATTTACAATCATATAGTTCTTCTGTTTTGCCATTATGGCGCTGGGTAACTTACCAAATGTATGAAGCCTGCAGCTGTTAGCCATGTGCTTATGAAGATTGAACATAAGTTCACCAGTTTTATGGAATTGCTATTGAAAACAAGAGAGCCAGACAATATCAGTGAACATTTGATAGTGTCCAACGCCAAAAGACCTGCCTTGTGAACGTTTAAACAAAGTGTACAGGTACAGGATCCATATTTGGTAATACAATTAAACGTCGGTAGCATTTTAACTGAACTGTTATTTAAAATAGTGCCGTACTATAGTCATGACCATAACAGAAAGTAGTTTGGCTGCTCCAGTTGTACATATCTGCCCTTGCACTATATGTGCCTAATGGGGATTTTGTTTGAAGAACATCCTTTGGGATAAAGGATGATATCTGCTAACAGAACCTCCTTTGGGATAAAGTATGATATCTGCTAACAGAACCTCCTTTGGGATAAAGTATGATATCTGCTAACAGAACCTCCTTTGGGATAAAGTATGATATCTGCTAACAGAACCTCCTTTGGGATAAAGTATGATATCTGCTAACAGAACCTCCTTTGGGATAAAGTATGATATCTGCTAACAGAACCTCCTTTGGGATAAAGTATGATATCTGCTAACAGAACCTCCTTTGGGATAAAGGATGATATCTGCTAACAGAACCTCTTTTGGGATAAAGTATGATATCTGCTAACAGAACCTCCTTTGGGATAAAGTATGATATCTGCTAACAGAACCTCCTTTGGGATAAAGTATGATATCTGCTAACAGAACCTCCTTTGGGATAAAGTATGATATCTGCTAACAGAACCTCCTTTGGGATAAAGTATGATATCTGCTAACAGAACCTCCTTTGGGATAAAGTATGATATCTGTTAACAGAACCTCCTTTGGGATAAAGGATAATATCTGGTTGCAGAACCTCCTTTGGGATAAAGTATGATATCTGCTAACAGAACCTCCTTTGGGATAAAGGATAATATCTGGTTGCAGAACCTCCTTTGGGATAAAGTATGATATCTGCTAACAGAACCTCCTTTGGGATAAAGTATGATATCTGCTAACAGAACCTCCTTTGGGATAAAGTATGATATCTGCTAACAGAACCTCCTTTGGGATAAAGGATAATATCTGGTTGCAGAACCTCCTTTGGGATAAAGAATGATAGCTGGTTGCAGAACCTCCTTTGGGATAAAGGATGATATCTGGTTACACACTGAGCTGCTCAGCCGACATTATTATGTAACAGCAACAAAGCAACCCCCCCCCCCAAAAAAAACGTGCTTTAATCCAAAAACGTTTTTATTCTTATGAAATATCACAAAATATTATTTCTAAATCCAAAATCCAAAATTAATGACGAACTAGCTTTCATGGCCCTTCACTTTTCAATACAGAATCAACTGTGCATGCAAATCTTCCTAAGGTCTTACTGTATATTCCTAAGGTAAGGTTACATTCTTTACTGTATATTCCTACAGTAATGTTACAGTCTTTACTGTATATTCCTACGGTAATGTTACAGTCTTTACTGTATATTCCTACGGTAATGTTACAGTCTTTACTGTATATTCCTACGGTAATGTTACAGTCTTTACTGTATATTCCTACGGTAATGTTACATTCTTTACTGTATATTCCTACGGTAATGTTACAGTCTTTACTGTATAATCCTACGGTAATGTTACCAGCCTTACTGTATATTCCTACGGTAATGTTACAGTCCTTACTGTATATTCCTAAAGTAATGTTACAGTTACTTGCATTGTCCTGTCCAGTATTAGTCTGCCCTGACCCCAGTCCATTTATATACTGTTTGTTCTGTCCTGCTCTGCCCTTACCTTCATCACAGTTAATGAGTCTGGGGATTATTCTAAAGCATTTTGTTGAGCTATAAGCTCTTCCTGACAGCTGTGCATCACAAGCTTTAATTCTAAGCAGTGGGGTAAATGATATCATTCATCATGCTGCATGATGTCCAATAGGTTTCAAAGAGCAGAATCATCAATTCAGAATCAATTTGGAATTGAAGTAAAATTGAATATATGGTATATTATACATCCTAAAGAACAATCCAGAACATGTTATAATTGTAGTTTTTAAAGTGAAATATATTATTTGCTTGTTATCACAGCAGTACGGTGTAATTTAATACGGAAACTTATTTCTTTCCCCAAATATGACAGAAATACCCCAAACTGTTCCCCAGTAATCCACCAGGTCTGAAAGTAGGACATGCTCATTTGACTAGTTTCAAATAAAAAAAATATATTTGATCCAATAACAAAGTTGGATCAAAGTTGCACAAGTTCAGAGAGGAGGTTCTATATTCAACAGTTTCCAGTAACTACTGTACATTAAAAAAGGCCACACTATATCAGAAGAGACAGTAAATGTATTGTATAATTGTACCTGTGTCAATATTCATCACAGATGAAGTCAGAATTACAAACATTATCATAACATAGCGCATGCAAATATTTGGAATACTACTAATTAGAATGAATACAAAATCGAATTCTACTTAAATTAAATACACTGAAGTTGGAGAAAATAATATTGCACTTACCTTGTTTTTAATATATTCAAAAACTGTAAGATTTCTGAGAACTGTATCAATCTTAAGGCCCTTAAAAACCTCAAGCCTGTGTGAGAGAAAAGTACAGGTAGAAGTTACTCAGAGTGAATTCTTTGCACATGTTATTTACATCAAGTCGTTGTTATTCGCCTGTACACAGTAAAGAAAGTACAATCACAGCAAACTAAATTGCATACCTTTGAAGCCTTCATCCATCTTCAAAAGCTTAAATGGATTCATGGCTAATAACAAACTAAAGTACCCTTAAAAAAACAAAAATAGCAGCACCAAAACACAACCAAGGTATAGGCCTCTCAAAAAACAAACAGCAGCAGTGAAGCAAGTAGCAGAAAATTGCACAAAAAAAATAGTGTTTAAAAACCTTATTCAAAACAACACACTCTGCATCAAAGAAACTTCTGAGGAATAAATACACTGCCAATGTCTCATACGGAGTTTTAATCTCAGGAGACTCACTAAATCACAAAGCACAAGCATCTACCAGATCCATTTTTTCATTACTAAGGACTAAAACAGCAAGAGATGAAAACCTGGATTAGTCAGACCAAAGACAGGTGGACAGGCCCAGTTAGACGGGTCATCAGCCATGACGTCAAATAATCCCACATTTGCAGCCATAAAAAAAAAAAAAGCTACATCTAAGTACCCTTCCAAGAGCTCAAGGACAAAGGTGCACCGGTGAATTGCCACAAGCTGTTGAATTACTACCTCCAAAGGCCTGTGCCACACACACACACACAAACACACACACACACACACACACACACACACACACACACACACACACACACACACACACACACACACACACACACACACACACACACACACACACACACACACACAACACACACACACACACACACACACACACACACACACACACACACACACACACACACACACACACACACACACATACACATACACACACACACACACACACACACACAGTATAATCTGATCATCCAACAGTTGGATGTGAAAGAATGAATTGCTTATTGTTATAGCATCAAAGGCTTTTCAGTATGGCATGCAACTGTATGTCAATCCCACAATACCTTGCTGGGGATAACCATGTGTACTACATCAGATGCACTTTAGATGTAGGCCTACTGTATGTGTCACAGAGAATATTTATGTATTTTCCTCAATTCTCAATTATTATTGTCCATAAATTCCTAAATTATAACATCAGATTCTGTAACTCATTATAAGCTTGCAATGTAGAAAGAAATGCCCTCAAAAGCTTACTAACCAAAAATATGTTGACTGTGTCAATCCCATAAAGTAATTTAAAACATTCCAATAATGCACAATTCAAGGACCCTAAAACCTCTTAACTATTTTTCTATTGTCAACTGGTTACAAGTAAACAAGTTCTCATTTGAAAAAAAACTACATTTGTTGAAACCAAATATATGATTCAATGCTGTTGTATTTGATTATTAACAAACCTATATTTCTTTCAACACTCAACCTAATTTCCCCTTTGGTTAAACAACAGCAATACTCACTAATATACACTACCATTCAAAAGTTTGGACACACCTACTCATTCAAGGGTTTTTCTTTATTTGTACTATTTTTTACATTGTAGAATAATAGTGAAGACATCAAAACTATGAAATAACACATATGGAATCATGTAGTAACCAAAAAAGTGTTAAACAAATCCAAATATATTTTATATTTGAGATTCTTCAAATAGCCACCCTTTGTCTTGATGACAGCTTTGCCCACTCTTGGCATTCTCTCAACCAGCTTCATGAGGTAGTCACCTGGAATGCATTTTAATTAACAGGTGTGCCTTGTTAAAAGTTAATTTGTGGAATGTCTTTCCTTCTTAATGTGTTTGAGCCAATCAGTTGTGCTGTGACAAGGTAGGGGGGTATACAGAAGATAACCCTATTTGGTAAAAGACCAAGTCCATATTATGGCAAGAACAGCTCAAATAAGCAAAGAGAAACTGGCTCTCATGAGGACCACCACAGGAATTGAAGACCCAGAGTTACCTCTGCTGCAGAGGATAAGTTCATTAGAGTTACCATCCTCAGAAATTGCAGCCCAAATAAATGTTTCACAGAGTTCAAGTCACAGACACATCTCAATATCAACTGTTCAGATGGGACTGTGTGAATCAGGCCTTCATGGTCGAATTGCTGCAAAGAAACCACTACTAAAGGACACCAATAAGAAGAAGAGACCGCTGTGTCTTTGTGAGACGCGGTGTGGGTGAATGGATGATCTCCGCATGTGTAGTTCCCACCGTAAAGCATGGAGGAGGAGGTGTTATGGTGTGGGGGTGCTTTGCTGGTGACACTGTCTGTAATTTATTTAGAATTCAAGGCACACTTAACTAGCATTGCTACCACAGCATTCTGCAGCGATACGCCATCCCACCTGGTTTGGGTTTTGTGGGACTATCATTTGTTTTTCAACAGGACAATGACCCAACACACCTCCAGGCTGTGTAAGGGCTATTTGACCAAGAAGGAGGGTGATGGAGTGCTGCATCAGATGACCTGGCCTCCACAATCCCCCGACCTCAACCCAACTGAGATGGTTTGAGATGAGTCGGACAGCAGACTGAAGGAAAGGCAGCCAACAAGTGCTCAGCATATGTGGGAACTCCTCCAAGACTGTTGGGAAAGCATTCCAGGTGAAGCTGGTTGAGAGAATGCCAAGAGTGTGCAAAGCTGTCATCAAGGCAAAGGGTGGCTACTTTGAAGAATCTCAAATATAAAATATAGTTTGTTTTGTTGAACACTTTTTTGGTTACTACATGATTCCATATGTGTTATTTCATAGTTTTGATGTCTTCACTATTATTCTACAATGTAGAAAATAGTACAAATAAAGAAAAACCTTTGACTGGTAGTGTATATACAACCCATGTTTTCATGTTGTACCAAGTAGATTTTTCACTTTGGAATAACTTAACAACATTTCTTCAATTGAAATTCAAGCAATTCAATTCATTTCCTGTTCATCAAATATTAAGTTGGTTGCATAACATGAAATAATGGCTCCAAAAACTTCTTTACATAACACTTCCACATTAACTGCACTGTAAAAAATATATATATATATTGTTGTTTTTACAGTAATTTACTGGCAGCCAGTTACCTGTAAGTTACTGTTAAAAAAGGTACAGTATATTACCGTAGATTCCAAATAAACGTTTGTATAATCTTTTTTTTTTCTCCCCAATTTCGTGGTATCCAATTGGTAGTTACAGTCTTGTCGCTGCAACTCCCCTATGGACTCGGGAGAGGCGAAGGTCGAGAGCCATGCATCCTCTGAAACACAACCCTGCCAAGCCGCACTGTTTCTTGATACACTGATCGCTTAACCTGGAAGCTAGCCACACCCATGTGTTGGAGGAAACACCGTCCAACTGACAGCTAGCAGGCGGCTGGTCCGCCACAAGGAGTCGCTAGAGCACAATGAGACAAGGAAATCCTGGCCGGCCAAAACCCTCCCATAACCCGGACGACGCTGGGCCAATTGTGCACCCCCTCATGGGTCTCCCGGTCACGGCCGGCTGTGACACAGCCTGGGATCGAACCCGGGGCTGTAGTGGCTCCTCAACACTCTGATGAAGTGCCTTAGACCACTGAGCCACTCAGGAGGCCCTGTAAAAAAATGTTTTACAGTAACTTATAGAGATCCTATTAAATTACTAAAAGGGCTATGTCATGAACCCTCAAAGTTCCAGAATGCGGTGAAAATGGCAGCCATATCGGTCAGGGAGAAATCCAAACCAGTCTAATTGGAATGAATGGCAGTAGAGGCCTAAACCTGATATTACTTATGCAGGAAAATACAAGTATTATATTGTGTAAAATATTGTCAAATAATTATAAATACAGTTTATATGGGTTTTATACACTTTTTCCTGTATACAGTTGAAGTCAGAAGTTTACATACACTTAGGTTGGAGTCATTAAAACTTGTTTTTCAACCACTCCACAAATGTCTTGTTAACAAACTATAGTTTTGGCAAGTCGGTTAGGACATCTACTTTGTGCATGACACAAGTCATTTTTCCAACAATTGTTTACAGACAGATTATTTCACTTATAATTCACTGGATACACTAAGTTGACTGTGCCTTTAAACAGCTTGGAAAATTCCAGAAAATGATGTCATGGCTTTAGAAGCTTCTGATAGGCTAATTGACATTATTTGAGTCAATTGGAGGTGTACCTGTGGATGTATTTCAAGGCCAACCTTCAAACTCAGTGCCTCTTTGCTTGACATCATGGGAAAATCAAAAGAAATCAGCCAAGACCTCAGAAAAAAAAGTGTAGACCTCCACAAATCTGGTTCATCCTTGGGAGCAATTTCCAAACGCCTGAAGGTACCACGTGCATCTGTACAAACAATAGTACGCAAGTATAAACACCATGGGACCACGCAGCCGTCATACCGCTCAGGAAGGAGACGCGTTCTGTCTACTAGAGATGAATGTGCTTTGGTGCGAAAAGTGCAAATCAATCGCAGAACAACAGCAAAGGACCTTGTGAAGATACTGGAGGAAACAGGTACAAAAGTATCTATATCCACAGTAAAACGAGTCCTATATCGACATAACCTGAAAGACCGCTCAGCAAGGAAGAAGCCACTGCTCCAAAACCGCCATAAAAAAGCCAGACTACGGTTTGCAACTGCACATGGGGCAAAGCTTGTACTTTTTGGAGAAATGTCCTCTGGTCTGATGAAACAAAAATAGAACTGTTTGGCCATAATGACCATCATTATGTTTGGAGGAAAAAGGTGGTTGCTTGTAAGCCGAAGAACACCATCCCAACCGTGAAGCACGGGGGTGGCAGCATCATGCTGTGGGTGTGCTTTGCTGCAGGAGGGACTGGTGCACTTCACAAAATAGATGGCATCATGAGGAAGGAAAATGATGTGGATATATTGAAGCAACATCTCAAGATATCAGTCAGTTAAATCTTGGTCGCAAATGGGTCTTCCAAATGGACAATGACCCCAAGCATACTTCCAAAGTTGTGGCAAAATGGCTTAAGGACAACAAAGTCAAGGTACTGGAGTGGCCATCACAAAGCCCTGACAATCCTATAGAAAATGTGTGGGCAGAACTGAAAAAGCATGTGCGAGCAAGGAGGCCTACAAACCTGACTCAGTTACACCAGCTCTGTCAGGAGGAATGGGCCAAAATTCCCCAACTTATTGTGGGAAGCTTGTGGAAGGCTACCCGAAACGTTTGACCCAAGTTAAACAATTTAAAGGCAATGCTACCAAATACTAATTGAGTGTATGTAAACTTCTGACCCACTGGGAATGTGATGAAATAAATAAAAGCTGAAATAAATCATTCTCTCTACTATTATTCTGACATTTCACATTCTTAAAATAAAGTGGTGATCCAAACTGACCTAAGACAGGGCATTTTTACTAGGATTAAATGTCAGGAATTGTGAAAAACAGAGTTTAAATGTATTTGGCTAAGGTGTACGTAAACTTCCGACTTCAACTGTAAATAGCCTCTAGAATATATGTAAACAGACCATAAATGTCTAAATTTCGGTTTTCTTGTAAAGCTGTGAGTGCTATTATATGATACAATATCACTACTTGTTGCATTTCCAACTTGTCTAAGTCCTATCATCAACTGATTTCAGCCAGTGTATGGCTGTAGATTGACTGCATTGTTTGAATGGAATGTTGGCATATTGGCAGTTAATTAGAAACATTTATGGAATCATTCCTCTAAAACTGACTGGTTAGCTAGCTAACAAACATACAGAGATAAATCCGTCAAATTCATTATTTTACACAATATCTTATCACAGCACAGGAAAACCATGGTTGACCAACTCCCTGACCAAAATGGATGACCTTTATTCCATCCTAAGAAGGTTAATGTCCATTCTAGTATTCTAATTCCATGCTTACAGGTAACTGGCAACCAGTAAGTTACTGTTAAAATAACAGGATGTTTTTCCAGTGTGGGTACAATATTGTAACCAAATGGTGACCGTCTGTCTGATCAATGGAAACCTTTCTAGGCTCTTTATATCATTGAAGATTCAGAGCTGGCAGTGAACATGTAATATATATTTTTGTTAACATAGCACATTACCTGGCATGATAGGTGGCCAACGATAACAAACTGAAAGTCCCGCCCCCAATAGGCCATGCCTCCAACTCTTCTGATAGGCTGCCCGCTATGCAATGCGAATGCACATGAGGTGTTGAAAGCAATTTAGAAGTTTTCGTTCTAATAAAAAAAATCACATTGATCTGTCAAATTCGTTAGCTAAACTGCAGCCCCAAGAGTAAACAATCAAGTGAATCAAGTCAAATATCTATAATCTATAATCTATAAATACAGTCGTGGTCGAAAGTTTTGAGAATGACACAAATACTAATTTTCACAAAGTCTGCTGCCTCCAGAATGTCATGAAGAGTGATCAGATGAATTGCAATTAATTGCAAAGTCCCTCTTTGCCATGAAAATGAACTTAATCCCCAAAAAACATTTCCACTGCATTTCAGCCCTGCCACAAAAGGACCAGCTGCCATCATGTCAGTGATTCTCTCGTTAACACAGGTGAGAGTGTTGACGAGGACAAGGCTGGAGATCACTCTGTCATGCTGATTGAGTAAGAATAACAGACTGGAAGCTTTAAAAGGAGGGTGGTGCTTGAAATCATTGTTCTTCCTCTGTTAACCATGGTTACCTGCAAGGAAACATGTGCAGTCATCATTGCTTTGCACAAAAAGGGCTTCACAGGCAAGGATATTGCTGCTAGTAAGATTGCACCTAAATCAACCATTTATCGGATCATCAAGAACTTCAAGGAGAGTGGTTCAATTGTTGTGAAGAAGACGTCAGGGCGCCCAAGAAAGTCCAGCAAGCGCCAGGACCGTCTCCTAAAGTTGATTCAGCTGCGGGATCGGGCCACCACCAGTGCAGAGCTTGCTCAGGAATGGCAGCAGGCAGGTGTGAGTGCATCAGCACGCACAGTGAGGCGAAGACTTTTGGAGGATGGCCTGATGTCAAGAAGGGCAGCAAAGAAGCCACCTCTCTCCAGGAAAAACATCAGGGACAGACTGATATTCTGCAAAAGGTACAGGGATTGGACTGCTGAGGACTGGGGTAAAGTCATTTTCTCGGATGAATCCCCTTTCCGATTGTTTGGGGCATCCGGAAAACACCTTGTCTGGAGAAGACAAGGTGAGCGCTACCATCAGTCCTGTGTCATGCCAACAGTAAAGCATCCTGAGACCATTCATGTGTGGGGTTGCTTCTCAGCCAAGGGAGTGGGCTCACTCACAATTTGCCTAAGAACACAGCCATGAATAAAGAATGGTACCAACACATCCTCCGAGAGCAACTTCTCCCAACCATCCAAGAAAAGTTTGGTGACGACCAATGCCTTTTCCAGCATGGTGGAGCACCTTGCCATAAGGCAAAAGTGATAACTAAGTGGCTCGGGGAACAAAACATCGACATTTTGGTCCATGGCCAGGAAACTCCCCAGACCTTAATCCCATTGAGAACTTGTGGTCGATCCTCAAGAGGCGGGTGGACAAACAAAAACCCACAAATTCTGACAAACTCCAAGCATTGATTATGCAAGAATGGGCTGCCATCAGTCAGGATGTGGCCCAGAAGTTAATTGACAGCATGCCAGGGCGGATTGCAGAGGTCTTAAAAAAGAAGGGTCAACACTGCAAATATTGACTCTTTGAATAAACTTAATGTAATTGTCAATAAAAGCCTTTGACACTTATGGAATGCTTGTAATTATACTTCAGTATACCATAGTAACATCTGACAAAAATATCTCATAACACTGAAGCAGCGAACTTTGTGAAGACCAATACTTGTGTCATTCTCAAAACGTTTGACCACGACTGTACAACATATAAACCATTCAGTGTCTCACTTCCGCAAATGTCCGTTTGATATTGATGTTTACAGAAGCGTTCCAGCTCAAGATGGAACAAACAAAGGTTACAATACAAATCCTGACTGAGCTCTATCTATCTCACCCCCTACTCTATCTCTTATCTCTCCTCTACTCTAATCATATCTCTGTCGTAGGTCTATGTCTTTGTTCTCTCTCGCTAGAGCGAGCGCGAGCTCGTAGAGCCGCGAGGTTTAGCGCTGTAGGGAGAGGCAACTTGCGCGAGACGCGCGCGAGGGGCGCTCTCTCTCTCTCTGCTTTCTCGCTCGCGCTATCTGCGCTCTCTCTCTCGCTCTCTCTCTCTCTCCATGCTCCTCTCTCTCTCTTGCTCTCTCTCTCTCTTTCCTCTCTCTCTATCCTATCTCTCTCTCTCACTCTCCTCTCTCTCTCTCTCCAGTGACATGTTAGCCGGCCGCGGCGTGGAGCAGGGTTTTGGACCAGGAACAGCAAAACAGCCTCTGGGTTTAATTAGATTCCTTTATAATAATTACTACCTTGTCAGCCAGGTTTAAGGTCTTACCCAGTAGGAGATGAAATGGAAAAGCAAGCAGGTCTCCCCCAGTTAGGAGATGAAAGGACGCAGGGTCTTTACCCAGTAGGATATTAAATGGAAGCAGGTGTTTACCCCAAGAGTAGGAGATTAAATGGAAGCAGGTCTACCCCAGTTAGGAGATTAAATGGGACGCAGGTTTACCCCAGTCGGCTATAAATGGCTGCAGTCTTACCCATTCGAGATTAATGGAAGCAGGTTGTACCCAGTGGAGAGGAAAGGACGATCGGTCTTACCCAGATAGGAGATGAATGAAATGGAAGCAGTCTTACCAGGTCGGATATAAATGGATTCAGGTCTTACCACAGTAGAAGATTAAATGGAAGCAGGTCTTACCCCAGTAGGAGATGAAATGGAAGCAGGTCTTACCCCAGTAGGATATGAAATGGAAGCAGGTCTTACCCCAGTAGGAGATTAAATGGAAGCAGGTTTTACCCCAGTAGTAGATTAAATGGAAGCAGGTCTTAACCCAGTAGGAGATTAAATGGAAGCAGGTTTTACCCCAGTAGGAGATTAAATGGAAGCAGGTCTTACCCCAGTAGGAGATTAAATGGAAGCAGGTCTTACCCCAGTAGGATATGAAATGGAAGCAGGTCTTACCCCAGTAGGAGATGAAATGGAAGCAGGAAGACACAGGTTGTCCCGGTCCTCTTTCTCCACGGCCTGCTGTTGTTGGTCCATCTTGACCCTGTAGCAGTTCTGGAAGAGCTCCCCGCACGACTTCTTATGTCGCCGCGTGTTCTGAAACGTCTCAGAGCGCGTGCCCCCATCGGGCCCTCGGTACACTAACATCTTAGTCAGAATCATGATTTCTAATGTCTTCTAAGACTGAAAAATAATTATGTTGGCAAAGCTTCCTGAAATCCATAGTAAGTTTCCCAGTTGTTGCGTTTCTCGTCAGTCAGTGTCTAAATATGGTTCTGTTTAAGGCTTCACAACATCCTCTGGATCTGTGTAATCCAACTCCTTAAAACAGCTTCCTCTATCTATCCCCTGCTTCTTTTTCCCTTCCTTCATCACACAGCAAATCAATCAAAGGCTCTCGGTATCCATCTCAAACAGCAGAGAAAAGGTTGAGCAGGTGGCTCAACATGTCGCTGTCCACCAGGAAGAGATAAAACCACATGTTCTGTAGGCCTGTCAGGATCAGATTTACCACAGATACTGTAGCATCCTCGTTATGATCATCAGCCTTTTCCTGCTTTGAGCTGCTATGTGGCATGTGACACATTCAGCTTGAATATAGCTAGCGGTCAGCTTTTGTTACAGCAGTTGTCATTAATTCAGGGTCATTGTTCTTCCACTAAATCCAGAGAAAAAATAATTAATGATTGCTAAAGCCTCTCAGACAGAGTTTGACTCGGCACTGACACATCACATGGCGATACACATTCTTTCTGGTGACAGTTTTGAGGAGTTACGATACGTTCTACCCTAAAATGACTGTCTATGACAGAATGTGGCCAACTGCTGTCTGATGAGATGTACTGTACATTGTCCAGTAGTAATGGGAAAGGCTCGCCTCACCGTCTGGTTGGCCTCTGTCTTTTCCTGGGTGGGTCTGCTATTGAAAGTCATATCAAAACATCATAGGGCTATATATTTCCAGTGAAATCACAGTGTCCAGAATCAAGACACAACATAAAACCTTTCCAGCGAGATTACAGAATATAACAATCTTTAAGGCTAGTTTCAGTGGACAGCTAAACGGTAAAAGCCTCTTTCTGTGTTTACTTGTACAGCTCATGAGTAAAAAGCTGGAGCATTTGGAGCAGGAATTAGCAGCTGTCTTATCTTAAATGGGCAATGTTCTGTTGCTCCCTGGCTTTCGTCCCTAAAAAGGCTCTCACAAAGTTACTTACTAAAACAGCAGCGGTTTGAATTTAATTGGAATGACAAACTGGTTTTATTTTCTGTCCAGAGGCATCAAAAACAAAATCTGTTGAATCATTCAACATGGAAACTCCACTTGTAGGGTAGCTAGGCAACAGCCTCTCAACAGAATGTCTTGGTATGTTGCAGAGGGTAGTCTATAAGCAGTTAGCTACAGTAGTAATTTGGAGGGTTAGCCTATAAGCAGTTAGCTACAGTAGTAATTTGGCATCTGTAACAGTCTACTTCCAACTAGGGCTGACCCCAACTAGTCGACTGGTCGTTTGTTTGGTCGATAGGCTGTTGGTCGACCGAGATTTTTTAAAAATTCTCTCTCTCTCTCTCTCTCTCTCTCTCTCTCTCTCTCTCTCTCTCTCTCTCTCTATCTCTCTCTCTCTTGCTCTCTCTCCAGGAGATGACCCACAGTCCCAAATGTCATCCTTTCAGGTGCCAGTCAACAAAACCCTATAAACTTCAATATCGGTTCATCATGTACACTGCTTTCAATCATAGACCATTTTCAATCCATTCAATCGTCATTAAAGGTAGCTAGGTAAAAAAAAAAAAAAAAAAAAGATCTAGTTCCGTGAGATGATGGATGAAGGGCATTCAAATGACCTTTTATAGTCGTGGAACTCTAGACCAGGGTTTCTTAAACTATGGGTTGGGCCCCAAAGTGGGCCCTGAGCATGTGAGAGGTGGGGTCGCAAGTTATGAGTAAACACTTATAATCACACACTATTTCCTCTTAATTTGGGTCGTTCGAGGACAGAACATTTCTCATTTGGGTCTCAAGCTGAAAAAGCTGAAGAACCTCTGGTCTAGACTGATGCCAGCCCAACCACTACTGTACGCCACAACATTGTGAAACCAGAAACAATTTAAAACTAGGTAAACACAATATTGCTGTCAGTAAACAACCAACACCATTATCACAGTCAAGGTAGTCCCAAATTGCACCCTATTCCCTATATAGTGCACTACTCAGTCAGCACAAGCAGCTACTCCCTGCGTCTGTTAAAAAGAGGGATGCTGTCCAAGATAAGATAACCAGGTCAAACCAGAGACGAAATCCATGTGGCTCAACTGGAAAAGAATTCAACAATTCAACGAGCCAGTTTAAACCAGTGTAATACACAGAATATCCCCTGGGGGGCGCTGCAGACCAGAGTTCAATCAAAGCTGAACTAAAACAACACTCCCACATTTGGCCCACCATACGACAGACCTTTGGAGGTTTACCGGTGCCGTGTACTGGCGCTGTACGTACCGAGCCAGCTCCTGTTGAGATAGACGGACACGAACACCGGGGGAACCGTGAAGAAGTCCACCACTGAGTTCACCTCCAACCAGAACCACAGCTTGTCGTTGGCCGCTATGAACTAGGGGGAGAAAGAAACCAGTCAACTATATTCCGCCATCCTACTTTTTAATGTTGAAACATGACCGTAGTTTGTTCAGGGTACAAAAGGCAGAAATTAAGAATGAAAGATAGCTAGACATCGCGAAACTGTTGAACGCTTCCACAGTTTTATTGAGTGCAACGTTTCGACTTGAATGTCTTTATTATGTGTGGGTATATATCTGTATTTCATGACATGATTGAAACTTCACTAGCATGACAACTTGTGTACACGTCTAATGTAGCATTGTCTTTAGTTACCCGTAGACCAAAGTACAAGAGGAAGAAGACGTTGAAAGCCATGTCGATCTGTAGCGTGAAGTCTTTGTAGAAGTTCTGACAGGACTCGATGGGGCTGTCAAAAAACACACAGAAAACAAACCTGTTAGAGACGGCTCACTTATGTCAGATGCACTATTCTTTCCTGAAAACGTTTTTAAAAGAAGACTAAAGAATGAAATAACTTCAAAAGGTGCAAAAGTTGGTATTTTCCAAAGAACATGCATATAAATAGTCACACGGGCACGTAATTGTAACATGTTCATAGACCCCTGATTAACCCCATAATTTAACTGTGTAAATTACTATTCTGAAAACCGTTTTGACATAGAAATTAATACGTAGTGATTCATTCAATAGCCTAACAGCACAGTGTGTACAGAAGAAGGGTTATTGCTAGGGGGACGTTTCAGTCCATCAAAAGGCTATTTTACACGGGAATCAGAATGACTGTTCGGGACCTTTAATGCTAGAGGTGTGTGCGGTGCAGTGGCAGTAATTGAAGGGTTAATAGCAGGCAGGGGTTAAGACGTCTTTCATGTGATTAAGCAGCCATAGCAGATGCTGCCAATGTAGGGTAGCAGTCTCACCCTCCACGCTTGTATCTGGCACTAAGAATTCAAATTAAAGGTAAATAAATAATTAAATGTTATGAGTTGGGATTACTGTGGCCACTATACATCACGTGAACCAAATCCAGTTGTGTGTAATGACAGTTTACGTTGTTATTGTAAACATCATATGCTGTTATAGTATGTGGTTGACAGTACAGACCTATATTGCATCTAATAATAAGCCATTTAGCAGACGCTTTTATCCAAAGCGACTTACAGTCATGTGCGCATACATTTTTACGTATGGGTGGCCCCGGGGATCGAACCCACTACCCTGGCGGTACAAGCGCCGTGCTCTACCAATTGAGCTACAGAGGACAACAGGATCTCACGTGGATACAGCCTACCATACCATGTTAACACGAATACTGCCTGACCTACATAACTAGGTAGGCTATATCAGTAAGTAGGCTATCGTGACCTACACAAGTAGGTAGGTTATATATCGTAAAATACGTCAGAGAGCCTTCAGCGTATCCCCTGGCCAATAGAGTGGACAATATGAGACAGCCAGCCTCCCGTCAAACTTAGACCAGATAGGATGCTATTGTTGTTATGTAAAGCCACCAAAATACACTCCTCGAATAGAAGCCCAGGACACAGACTAAACTACCCCAGATCTAACATTGGGCAAAATTCAGTTGATGTCCTGTCATATAGCATGGCTGCTATAGCCTGCTAAAAGCTGGATCGGGACAGTGTGACCGAATATGTCATGCAACAAGCCTACCTAGTGCGTTATATTTGTCTAATCCTTTATACAATAAAGGTACATTATTGTGTCAATAAATATGCATGTAAAGGTTATGATGGCATTTATACTACACATTACCAATAACAGCAACTGCCAATTCTAAGAATAGTCCAAGCATGGTGAATATTTCAACCCTTCACTTCAGGTGATAATAACCGCAGTATATCTAGTGTGCATTCTGCATCCCAAATGGAACCCTATTCCCTATATAGTGCACAACTTTTGACCAGAGCCCTATTTATGTAGCCTAAAGGGAATATAGGGTGCTATTTAGGACTCATCCCAGTGAGAATCCTCAACGGTAGCTGGGTAACGACCATCAGGAGGCCAGATCTGGGCTGCTCAATAATTGAGTGGCTGGTCAGGAAGCAGTGGGCTTTGTCTCTAAAAGAGCAGAAAAACGCAGAGGAAAAAGGCTGCCAGTGGCTACCTCGCTTTTAACCAAAGATGCATGAACGGTGGAGCAGACTGAATATAGAAGTTATATTTTGTAGGACAATGGAAATTTGATGATATTCAGCAACAATGGAATTCTACGTTTTTTTTTGTTTTTTTTAAACAATTTATCAAACCCTCCGAGGGCTCTATCCACTTTCCTGCACTCAGGCACACAGAGGCAAGGCTGTGCATGAGTCACTGAGAGTCGTAGCATTTTGGCCAAACGGTGGAATTGTTATTGGCTCAGATTCATTTTTAATTTCCAAAATCGAAAAAAACAAAGAATGCTGTTGTACACAAATGGTAATCTGAGGATATCAATTCAACGTAATTCAATCAAAACCAAGATCAGGGAAAAACCTATTATTTGGACCAAAAAAACAACAATGTTTGTTTGAGATGATTATGTAAAAAGCTCTATCTGTGTACATCTTCGGACATCCTCAGC